TTTGTGTTAATAGCTTTTAATCAAGTCACTGTCAAAGCATCTCCAGAACTGTAGGTTTGTATAGGAAAGTTGTTATGAAATATAATATTAAAAATGTTTTATGTGGTGGGTTTCTTCAGTAAAAGTCAGCTATCCTGGAGTTATAAATTGAAGCCTGTGATATGAGTCATTGGGCGTTTGATTTGTTAGTTCTCCAAGAAGGATAGATAGGAGACTCATTAAATATGTATTAATTCTACATTTTAGGGCATCCACAGGAAATACCTTTCTTACTACGTAAGTCAGCTTTGTGAACAATGGGAGCAATTGTATTTTTCTGAAACATCAGAGAGAGTGACCTCAGCTCTGCAGATAGCATTTTTGAGTGGGATAAGATGTATTAGTGTCATTTTGGGTTCCATAAACTTGGGGCCTGACCATCTTGATATAGTCAAATTTGAGAGTAAAAGGTTACAATAACAAAAAGTTATTTGAATATACAGTTTATCAGAAAAAAAACTTTTAATTTTATAGCTTTTCACAGTAAATATTAAATGATACAAATTTTTATACTCCTCAGATTAATTATAGGCTTACTACTTTTCCTACATCTTCATTTAATTTCTGGTTTGAGTATCCTGTTTCCAAAAGACGTGGTAGAGCTTTCCTCAGAACAGATGTATGTATCATGAGCGTATTTCCAGATGCAGAAAATTGTTAACTGACCATACTCTGATGATTCATGGGTCTTCCTATGGAAAATATTTTTTTATTGCCATAGTTTTGGCACTAGCGTAGCATTGGCCTCTTTAGCCACCAGTGTGCTTGTAGCAAATGTGGGTAGAGTCCTTCCCAAATATTCGATCGTGAAGCCCAGCCATGATTGAGTTAGCAGAAACTATCAACTTAAATGGACACCTTTCTCCTGTGGTAGGAGATGGCCGTGTTTCTATTTGTATCAAGCTTGTTCTTTTGTAGGTACTTGTGTTTGACGCTGGTCAGCAGTGGTGAACATCTCTTGCTTTTCAGCACGGTGTGCCAGAGTATTGTTATGCACTTGGTGTTAATCGGAAAGGATGATTTTCAGTGAAAATGTGTCCTACAATGTTATCTTATGATAAAGAGGTAGTTAAAACAAACAGTATTAATGTACTGTATCTGAACTTACTGTTCATTATGTGTTTGCATTTCTTTTCATGGAATTTATATTCTTATATGAAAATCTTAATGTCACTGCCACAGGGGTTTCCTCCGCATTATCCGTGAAGATTATGTGAGATCCTTATTTTATGATCTATTTCGTTTGAGTGTTATTACTGTTTGGAATGAAAAAATGAAAATAATGTTTCATGTCTTTTGACTAGTTCTTGAGCATATGGAATGCATTGCAGTGAAGTTTAATATGAAAATTAAGGAAATAAGTTGAAACATACTACCAATTATATCTTTAAAAGTATTTCAACCCTTAGAATATTTTATACATAATCAGAAAGCCTGAAGTCTTTACTAATTCTATTTTATAAAGCCTCTCTGCTCTTACACATGATTGACATACTTCAGTAATGAGAGTAAAAACCTAACAAACAGAGCCAGGACTTGAGTCAAAGGCTGGTAATTTTATCTCTGTCCTGACTACCATGACTTCATCATGAAATAAAATGACACACTGCTTCTAAAACTTAATACAAAGAGAACAGGGAAGGTCTGTGCATGAAATGAAAAAAACAAGGGCAGCAGCATCTGCGAGTAAAATCAAAATTCCTGTTGGATGCTGAGGGTTTACTGGGCAGGATAGCCCCATTTCCACAGTTTTATAGGACTCGTGCCAGATTTCTGTTGGCCAGTTCTTCTGACTGTAAGGGTTCATTCAGCTTGTGCCTCTCTGTTCCTCTCAGCCCTGTTCAGAGAGCTGAACTGAGGTGTTGACACAGTGTGTGTGTGTGTATATGACCTAGGGCTGCATTGAGCTCTTGCGCTTTACCCACAACATGTACAGTTTGTGCTGGATCAAACACAGTCTGGCCATGATTGTCGAATGTTTCAGATTCAGAAGATCTTAGGAAACATAAAACCAATGTAAACACATAGAAAAGTGAGAAATGGCTTTTACAGCTAGATGGTGACAGAATATTTTGTAGTAGCTGAAGCCTTGTTTTCCTTCTAAATGTTGAGAGGAAAGAACAATGTATACTGTTCTTAGCCCTGGATTGATTGATTTCCATTGAATAGTTAAAGAGCTAGTGATCCCTCTTCTGGAACTAAGTTAGCTCAACCTGTGGCATAGTATGTGCCCTTTGGTTTTGTTTTGTACAGCTTCTAAGCTAATTTTCTCTTGACCTGTATGATAAGGTTACTTAAAAGTGAAACATAGATTTTGTAGGGAAAATTTCAAGGTCCAAAATTAACACAATTGAAATATAAACTTTAGAATGATATGAACATAACCTATTTTCTGCAAAATGAACTTGATATTTCAAAACATATCTTTCAAAATTTCAAAATTTTAACCTTTCCCAGTAAAGAGGGAGCTTTTGTGCTTCCCTTGTAACACGAGTCCACACAAATGGAGAAAAGGATGCAAGGAAGCAGGCATGTAAAGGAACTCACCAAGGTGAGTTGTCTATGCATTGTGTAGATAGGTGTTCTGCACAGTGTGAATTTAAATTTTTGGAAATAGGATTGTTTTCAAATGAAAATGTTCTATATTTGTAATTCTCTGGTTCAGTGTTAGACAATTCCTTTCATTTAATGAGTATCTTAAATATAGAAAGTTTTACAGATCATCTTAATCAGGGTTTTTAGACCTCTTCCCAAAATGCTGGTTCAGCATTCAGTACTGAATGTTGTGTATTTCCCTTATGCTTGTCTGCACAGACAGGTCCCTTCATTTCAGTTATGTTGTTATAATTAAAGTGAGGCTGAAGTTATACTTATTTTTCCGATTCCTTTACTTTTTGGAGAGTAAAATAAATTAGCCTTGCATAATGCTTTATTGAAAGACTGGAGTGAGTACTATTCTACTAGTGAATTAATTACAACCTTTTTATCTGCTTTTGGTTTTGTTCATAAAATGGTTATAAGGGAAGAACTTTTCAATGTTAAACAGGCCTTAAAAATTTCTTTCTCCTATTCGCTATTTCCCCCCCACCCCATGCATAGTCAGTTTTTTCTGGATAGGGTCACGCAGTTCTCTCCTGTGTTGTTTTTATTTTCCCCGGGCACACCCTTCTGTGTTGCTCTTGGGTCAACATCTTCTTCTACATCTATTGATCATATGAACATGGATGTCACACTACAATTTCAGAGATCTTTCTGGTTTATGATAATGCTGTGCTATGAGAAAAAGGCAGAAGTGTTGATCAATAGATGCACTAATTAAAAGAGCAATGAAGTCCATTTCAGTTAAAAAGTTTTGAACCAGACACACTTTGATATATGTCTTCTCCTCTCCAAGTCATAACTAATAGTGCTACTTTTCTGAGCCCAGTATGGATGAAGATATCCATGTAAGACACATCTCAGCAAAATCTTTGCCATGATGTTTTTCTAAAAACAGATGTAGTACTAGACCTTGTCTGCTTTGCACGGAACTTGACACTTCTGATCTTCTGGCATTTTCTTGCCTCCCCCCACCATATTTTTTATTTTTATTTATCTTTATTACAGACTCAAATGAAAATTCAAGGAGTTTTTGAATCAAAATGTTCACAATTGACGCATAAACCGAAGCCCCTAAGCAAAGACACTCTTTGGCACTCTCAATAATATTAAGGCCCCATACACCAACATTTCAGGTAAAAAATGCTTTTTGGAGCAGTCAGGAAAGCTTGGTGAGAACAATTAATCCTACACATTTAATTTTCTTTGGAGGTTTTAAATGTAAACAGAAGGCAACATCATTCCATAGATCTGAATCACCTCTGTTGCAGACCACACGTGGTCATTCTCCCAATACACACACGTATGCACTAGCTTGTGCATCCACTCAGATTGAAGGTGGACTTCAGGAAGGCACCTTGTGTGTTACACAAGCCAGTCCTTTCGTCCCTGCTGCACGATGAGGTATTCACCAAGATCTGTGGAGAAACTCTGCAAGGTTCTCCTGCTCTTAGTCTCCAGTAGTAAGAATTGTGAAATGGCAGTAGAACTTGCTCTTGCATGTTCTGAGAAGTCTCTCTGCTGACTTGAAAGGAGTCAATGCAGTCTGGCTTGCTATCTTGGGTATCTCAAGTTGAACAGCAACCAAAACTCCTGCTTTGCAGGAATGTTTCTGTTAAAAGATGAGTTCTTGGCATATTTTGAGACTTTCTAAGAAAAAGATGGATGCTCTCTTCTATAGCTAAGTGATGAAGGTAACTAGTAAGTCTATAAAGTTAAACCCTGATCAGTTCAGTTCATTCTTCATCTCAACATGAAACTCAAATACTTTGTTTCTTTACAGAAAGTTTCTTTCTTCAGCTTTACATAATGAAAAAAGTGTTAATATCTAAAGGCTTAAAAACCCCAGACACCTAAAAAGAATGAACTTTGGAACATTTTTTTGTTTAAGAAATTAGAAGAAAGCAGAATGAAGGGGTTCCATCCAAACCAAAATTATAGGTTTTGAACTGTTTGTAAGAAATAACCATCTCACTGCCTGGAACCCTGGCAGTCTCAAACCCATGTTTGTGAGGGTGGGAGTGAAACAATGCTACCTTCTCTTGCAAGGCCTGACAATTAAAAAAAAGTTTGGAACTACTGATGGAGACAACTTGGAAACATGGTAGCTGGTAAACCAGTTATTTCTGCTGGTGACCAAGACTCAAAAGAAAATAAGAGGATTTTGATGATGAAATGAAAAACCTTCCACAGTTTTCCTGATTTTAATTGTGCAGTTGTTGACATGCTCGAGGTTTTAATAAATGAAGGTGGTTTTTTTTCTGCTCTTAATAAAGCTGTAGATATTTCCTCATTAAAAAACCAAACCAAACAGAACAGTTTTATCTTCATATAGTGAAATAATTCCATTTAACTTTCCATAGGGCTGGCCTTTGCTGCTCTGTCTTCAGTCCATCCAGTTTTTGGTCTATATGGCTCTTTCTTCCCTGTCATAGTTTATGCCATATTTGGAATGGGACGTCATGTTGCAACAGGTAAGTATCTATTTCCTAAAAACCTTTTCAAAAATAAAAAACTGGAAATTGAACTTCTTTTGTTTTAAGATCAATGGAAGGAAAATATCATCTATGACTAAACATCAAATTATGTTTTTGTGCTTCTTTTTACACCTATTTTTTGTCAGTTTAAGTACTTTAAAGAGCCTCATTAAGAATATATTGGAGTTATTTCTGCCATTATAATTTAAAATTGGATTGACACTTCTTTTGTAAGTGTAACTTATTAAGAGTTTCTGTGTTTTAACTCTGCTTTAGAAATCTGCTTCAGGCTAAGATTTTAACAAAGGGCTCTGCCAACAAGAGATATGCAAATGGGACTGAAAAAGGCTCAATTGCCTCTTAAACCATAGAAAACACATTACTTCTCAACTGTCTAAACCACAAATCCTCCATTTTTTAGGAAAAAAAAAAGGCTTTTTGTGCCTATTACTTGCTATTGTATTAAAGCTGGAGACTCTCCCAGTGAGGGCTGCTGTCCACACTTGTAGACTAGTTAGGGAGGTAGTGAAAGGTGCTCCCTGGCTACTATGCTGGTAGTTATGAGTTACTTGTTTACCTTCAGCAGTCACAGCAGCTGCAAGAATTTAATGGCTTTGATCTCCTAGGTTAGGCTGGTTAATGCTCTGTTTCTGATCCCAAAGAAACTAAATTATATGTGGAAGCTGGAAATAGTACTCATTACGTTGAACCACAAATTGTTTGCCATGCAGAAGTTGGCACTTGGTGGCCTCTGAAGTTTGCAACTAGGATGAGACAGGCCCAGTAGTAACACACATCATGACTGGGTAAAGGGAAGCAGCCTCTGTGGCTGTCAGAAGGTTTAAGGAGGAGGAGGGATGTTTTCCTTAAGGAGGTGAAAAAGTCCTGAAAGGAGAAAAGATGGTTGTGGGTAATCACACACAAAATGAACTCTGCAGAATCTCATTGCTCTCATGTATGCAATGTTTTAGTAAGCAGTTAGCAACATATTTTTTAGCACCTTTTTTGATCAAAAACATTCAGTTAAATTACAAAAAAAGAAAAATCTAACCAACTGTAAATTGTCTTAGAGCAAAAGTAAAGCTGAAAGTTTGTTTTCCCTAGATACGCAAAAAGTATTTGAACCTTGTGATGTTCGAAAAAGGTCTGTGGATGCTGTTAGTGTCCTAATGTTGTAATGACTGTACTCAGCCCATGTGAAAAAGAGAAGCATTTGAAAAGAAGTGAAAATTTAGAATTTGGAAAATTAATTTTACTCTTGAGTACAGACAGATTAGTACACTTACTAAAACATGAACCTATATTAAAAAACTATAATAACAAGTGTTGTCAGAAGTTTGTTGGTGTAAGATTATTAGGAAGACAAGAATCCATCATATGTAGGAAAGCAGATAAGTAAGTATCTGGCTGGCATAAATTCTAGTAATGAAAACAGATGATAAAATAGGTAAGTACAAGCTGTTAAGTCTGATGTTTTATTCTTGGGAGGGAATGATGTTCAGAGAATGACTTGCTTAGTCCCACAGCTTCATGTCTGCGGATTTCTGCATGGTCACTGGTGTGGAAACCTATTCCTTCACTGATATCTATTACAGAATTTAATTTTAATCAAAAAAGGGCAGCAAAACAGTTCTCTTGCAGTAATGAAGATTTTTTTTAAATTAATAAATTTGTGTGACATATGTTGTCAATCAGCAGACTTTTCAACAGAAAAGACTCATGCACTCCTCCCACCACTCGGTTGAGCTGTTGAGCTGTGTAGGCTGAACTGGAGCTATACTGTCTGCCTCAGTTTCCCAAATGTTCCATAATTCCTTGTGGACATTGAAGACAATCTCTTCACCTATCAGCATTTTCTGTAAGATCTGTGGTGCTCTCCATATATACACAGGCTATAAAAGTGTCCTTTGTTAGAGAGGTCAGTCATGTTAATATGAAATGGAAAATTCATCAGTGGCCCAGTTCTGTCAGCTTTTACTCACTTTAAATGTCTCTTCTTTGAGATGGTTGATCTACTTTAAAAGATTATACACCTGAGCGACAAACACCTACACCTTTTCCTTCACTGTTTGTGATATGATTGATTTTGAAGCATCCTCTGAGACAACTTCATCCATCATAATAACACCTTTAGGTCTTTGATTTAAGACAGAATTTTATGTAAACTGTTTTCAAATTCAATTTTATGTAAACTGATTTTTTTTAAGTAAAAATGAGAGAACAGGCTTAAAAGAAAAAAAAAGCAATCTGAAAAACAAAATATTTACAGCTATCCTGTTGCTTGAAAAAAATGTATTTTTGGCCTAGATAAAAAAAAGAAAATGTAATCAAAATAAACTCCATCATGGTTTGATGGGAAAAATTAAAGGGACTCTCTTGAGAAACAGTTTGCCACTTGAAAAATGGAAAGCTTGGCCATATGAGGTGGGCAGGAAAGTGATGAAATGTGACAGGTCAAACATATGCAGGAACACTAAGGGGCTAAAAAAAAAATTTAAAGAATTCCGTGGAGAGTATGATCAAACTGGTAGTTAAAGTTTCTTTAAATCCTCCAAAATCAAGACAGTGAGAAGTAAACTGGTGGCATATCTTTCTGGCAGAGGTGTAATTAGGACATTCTGTGACAAGGCCACAGGATTGTCAAGTTGTCAGTGTAATTTCATTGTCATAAGGGCTCTGCGGGGAATGCTGGGAATGTCAGACCTGTTGGTAATAAAAATAAAAATACTGAATCATAGAATCTTAGAATCACAGGATGGCCTGGGTTGGAAGGGACCTTAAAGATCATCTAGTTCCAACACTCCTCTCATGGGCAGGGACACCTTTCACTAGACCAGGTTGCTCAGTGCCCCATCCAATCTGGCCTTGAACACTTCTAGGGATGGGGTGAAAAAAGATATGTATAATCGGAGACTGTTGGAGAGGAGTTAATATGACTTCTGTAAATGACCTCTGTTAATATGACCTCTCTAACCTCCAAGGGTATGTATGAGTGTCAATAAGCACATGAAGAAAGGAAATACTTTGAATATAAGATATCAAAATGGTCAAACAGCTACTGATAAGGTTCCACACCAAAGGTCACTAAAGAAACTAAGTTGTCCTTGTGATAGAAGAAAAGTCCTTTTATTAATTATTAGTAGATTAAAGGTTAAGAAGCAAAAGGCAGGACTTCATGGCCATTTTTCAGGGTGGTGGTGTTCCTGGTAGGTTCCCAAGGAATTCATGCTGGGAATCCTGGGCCTTTATGAAGGCTACAGTGAAGGTAGCACATTGTTCACTGCATCCTGTAACAGTAGAATAAAGGTGAGTTCAATGAGATATAATTTTAAAAGACTTTTAAAGTATAGATTAAATAAAACAGTACAGCAGACGGTGAACTTCTGGAACCTGCTCTCAGAGGACATTGTGGAGGGAGAAATTACAAGCAGGTTGAAACAAACCTTTGACAAATTCATGAACTAGTCCACAAAGTCAAAAAGGGCCAGGTAAGGATGTACTTTAACACAACAGCTATGGATGCTGGCAATAAGGGCAATGGCCTGCAGAAAATGGCCAGGCTTGTGTGCTTTTCCTGGGTAACACCTCTGACTGTCACGGCTGGAGGCAGAGTACTGGGCAAGATGGACAGTTGATCTGACATGGTAAGACATCTCTTATGCTCCTATAGCTCTTCATGAATGTGTTTGTGCTTATTAAGCTATTAGAGGGTGTCCAAAGGAGGGCAACGAAGATGGTGAAGGGCCTTGAGGGGAAGCTGTTCGAGGGGTGGCTGAGGGCACTTGGTGTGTTCAGCCTGGAGGAGACTGAGGGAGACCTCATTGCAGTTACAACCTCCTCTTGAGGAGAAGAGCAGGGGCAGACACTGACCTCTTCTCTGTGGTGACCAGTGACAGGACCTGAGGGAATGGTCTGAAGTTGTGTCAAGGAAGGTTTATGTTGGATATTAGGAAAAGGTTCCTCACCCAGAGGGTGGTTGGGTGCTGGAACAGGCTCCTCTGGGGAAGTGGTCACAGTACCAAACCTGACAGAGTTCAAGAAGCGTTAGGACAATGCCCTTGGGCACATGGTGTGACTCTTGGGGATGGTCCTATGCAGGGCTAAGGGTTAGACTTTTATGATCCTTGTAGGTCCCTTCCATTCGGCATATTCTGTGATTCTGTAATTCTGTGATTTATCTGAGTGTCAGTAAACTTGCTTTATCTCAGCTGCTAAATGTTTCTCTCGTAATGTGCCTCCATTTATTAGAATGCTAGGTGCTATGAAATGGGCTAGGTACCATATGTATATCATAAATCATTTGCCCTAGAAATTTGGTTCATGAACACTTGGGATTCTCAGACAAATAACTGTTTGGTCATGTCCAGGGTGAGTTAAAAGCATTTCTGATAACTTGAAATAGTTGTAAATTGTTGTATTTGAATCTCTTTTGTAAACATGTCTAAATGAATGTGCTCAAAAAAATTACATTTAATTCACCTGTAAAAATGGTATTTTACAGGAAGAAATATGTGTTAAACAGAAAAATTACCTTAAAAATTGTTCTTATCATGACAGAAATGTACAAAATGGTACCTTTACTCATAATGGCCGAGAGACCATGAGTGATGAGTACATACAGATATAAAATTATTTTTCACTGATTTGTGGCTTTTTTTATAGGAACTTTTGCTTTAACTTCCTTAATATCTGCCAATGCAGTTGAGCGTCTTGTTCCTTCAGTCACCACTAATTTCACTGCAAACAATAATTCGGGAATTTTGGGCTTATCGGAGTTTGAAATGCAAAGGATTGGAGTTGCAGCAGCAGTTTCATTTCTAGGAGGAATCATTCAGGTTGGTAGAGGTCTCACGCTTACTCATGCACTGCCTTTGTGGCAGCTGTGACATTTGTAATACTTTTATTTTTCTCACTTCTCTGAGAACAACTGATGAAAACATCTGGTCTGATGGTCATGAACGATGAAACTAATGTGTTTTAAGAATTTGCTGCTCCTTTGTTGAGGTGTAGTAATTATCTGTATACATGCTGCTAGTGTGTTACAGTATGAAGTAAAACCACATTCAATCAGCTCTAATATAATGCTTAGTTGCTGTTGGTGCCCCTTTTTCTTCTCCTTCAGAAAAAAGACATGAATCAGCTCCTGGTAAGCACTGACATATTCCTTTGGATTTCTGTTGCTCTTGGCTTGAAGAGAAATACTATACAATATCCAATGATTAAAAACAGCAGGGAAAATGTTTAAATTCTCTCCAGGGTTTACACACCCACCATTAAAATGAAATAGTAAAACAGATGCCTTTGTATGATTCTCCAGAGCTTATTCAAATGATCAGAGGTCTTTTAAATTTCTTCTTTTTTCTTATTCTGACTGCAAGTGCTGAGTTCCTTTATCCATTGCCAGTTGCTTAGATCTTCAAGAAGGCTTCTCTCTTTCCTTGTAAGTATTAAAATGGAGAAAATGTTCCAGCATGCAATATTGCAACACCTCCTGGGTACCTGGCCTCCTGAAAGAAACCCAAACTCCTGCACTTGTTGCTTTGGATCCCTCTACCATGCAGAAGATGAGCAAAGAAGCCCAGGGCATCTCCAGTGGCCTGCATGCTTGGCAGGAACGGGGCATATGCTTATGCTAGTCAGTAGGAAATATCAAGAAGCATGACAATTTCTGTTGTATTTTTATTATTCTTTTATTGGATACAGGATTATGCTGTATGGTAGCAGCATGAGGGAAAGCCTGTGGACAATATACAAGGTAGAACTGGTGCTGATTGTGCCTGGCTGTGCATACACGTGCTGTCTCATTGCACCAGTATGTGCAGTACAGCACTACATCTTGTACAGTGTGCTTGTAAGAGCAGAGCATGCACAGAGCTCTTTGCGTGGGAACCCTGTGCTCACAGCTTGGAAATCTCCTACATTATCCCCAGAGAGGCCAGAATGCTTCAAGCAGGAAGTTGGTGCCTGCATTCATTTGATCTAACTTCAAAATCCAATGCAGAAATTTTTTGCTTAGTGGATGGAGAATCCCGTTAGGTGTGTAAATCCTCTAGACCTCTTACTCTTTCCTATTGAAAAGTTCTGCTTTTTCATATACCTTCAATTGCATCAGCTGACTTAGCCTATGTCCTGTTTAAGCTTGATTGAAATGAGAACAACTAAATCCTCTGCCTGCATCTTCAAAGCAGGTCTGGTAGGGAACTGTGCCACGTGCATGGGCTCCTCTCCCGGGTCAGTAATGTCACTTGCATTGGAGCCATGCTAGCACAGCCGGTGCTTGTTGTGCTGCCACTAGTCCTTTATGTGAGTTTAATGGTTAAACTCACATAAATGGTTTAATTAAAATACTTATTTCCTAGAGAAGTGCCTTGAAGCTCTTAATAATGCAATATGCGAGTGAAACTCTGGATCAAGGCTGAGATTAAATTGTGCCATCTTCCCAGGTGCTGTTAAGTGTGGGAATCTATGTTTCTCATCATGATTCCAGTCTGACTAACAGTTCCTGCAATTCCCAGATAAGATGACAGGGCACATCTTGCTGTTAATGGAGAGCTGTCAGTGACCTGCATCTATTTATCAGATTAGACTAGAAATTATTTAATAGCCTGGAGTAAATGTATATTCTGGGACAAGAGAAATAGTGTGATGCATTTTGGGGCAGGAGTTTTCCACTGAAGACATCCTAAAATACAGAAAGAAACTGAATTGTCATTGTAGCTGGTATTTGGGATGGTACTTCTCTGGAAAGGGAGCAGACCTGGGCTATGGTATCTACTATGACTCGTTATTCTGAAAAAAAACAGTCAAAATGCAGTGCTCTAATCAGCGCAAAAATCTAATTTCGCAAAAACAACTGATGCTGTGATTATTCCATACCGTGGTCAACCTCCATATGTAGGATGAAAAGTCCCTGTCCAAAACAGTTGTTTCCTTCTATGAAAGAGTAGGTAAAGAGGTGAATGTCCTTGGCCTGAAAAGCAATTTGATACTATTTTTTCAGTAGCCTGGCTAAGTACTCTAATCAGCAATTAATGTCAAAGGAAAAAAAGGAAAAACATACAAAATAGTGAGTCATGGAGGGAAAGCAAAGGGTAGAGATGTTTTTTTGAAATGATCTGCTGTTGGCTGCTGTATGTTTTGTGCAGACCGTAACTGTGCATTTGTGTGTGAGGCAAGCTCTGAGCAAACTTTGTGAATCTCAGTACCATCTAGACATGAATAAATTAGAACTGTTTTCTCATCATCAGGTGAAGCTTATGAGATTTGAAATTTGGTGCTTAGTTGCTTAAATTTTTTCAAGTAATAAATTTCGGAGTCCTAAACAGCTTTTTAAATATAATGTTTTGAGGGACTGTTTATAAAAGACGAAAAATATTTAGTCATCTTAAGAGGCTTCTGATGAGGATAAAATAGTATTAAAATAGAAAATAAGTAAATGTAAAATAAAAACTGTAATTACAAAAAATAATATAACGAATTCACTATTTCATTTTTTAAAAGTAGAAAAGAAGGAATAATGAAAATTTTTTCCTATATTTGTGTAGCTCCTACTCTATTAAGATAAACAGGGCATGGAAAACTAGTCAGGTTAATAGAATTCTTTCCAGATATTAAATACATCAGATGTATTGATGGGGAGAGGAAGTGAGGGAACATAACAGATGCCTATGGGATAATTTTGTAATTAAAATTGGATGATGCCTTTATAACATTAAAAAAACTCAAAAAAGCTTTTGGATAAGATTTTTTTCCCCTATTAATATATTATATGTGCAAGAATGCTTGCATAAATATATGTGTCTATAAAAGAACCTCAGCATACTAAACTGAAATTCAACATGAAGATTTGCTGAATAGAGGAAAGCTGCTTGCAGATCAAAATGAGAAAAAATAATTTTTATCCTACAAAAAAAGTTTTATTCTCTTAAGACCACAGTGTTACAGAGTTCAGCTGTGCTACTCTTCTGCAAATGAGAAATAGCTGCTTATTGCATTCCAGTCTTCTACATTTTCACTAGTAAGTTTTTCAACTGCTGTATTTTGAAAACTAACATGTAATTAGTTGCTGATATAAAGTATTTGAAATAAAAATGTTTCTAGTTATCAGGAGAACAAATTTACGTGGTATATTATCAGTTTACTTAACAAAAAAGGAGCACATTTGAATATGAAGGGTGTTTTTGTAAGGCTAATATTCTTGTCCAAAACTTTTCTTCCCTGTGGGGAATGTTATGTTGCTCTATTCTATGTTACACATAGTTTTTCATGAGATTATAACATGAGTCTATTATAAGTGATAATCAGGAAAACAGTTAATTTTTCTTTTACAGTGGAAATAACTTCTTGCAGGTTCACATTCTGTATCTTGAAAACTACAAGTAGGGTAGGTGGGACATCTGGTTCCCACAATTATGGTGCAGCATACAATGTGTTAGTACAGAAAGACCATAGAAAGAAGAGTTTTTCAGGTCCTGGAGTGTGGAAAGATCACTTTCCACACCATCAGAAGCTACCAGACACTCTCGAGACACCCATAATGAACATGAGAGTTGCAATGCAGAAGACCAAAAGCTCGCAATTAAATGTCTATTGAAACAGGCTGAGAAGAGTTTTAAATATTGCTCAGTGAAGCTGAACTGCCCACGTCTGACTGTTTTCTCTACATGGTCCATAGATGTCTTGACTTTTGCAACCTCTGACTTTGAGATAACCAATACAATGTACTAAATGAGAGTCTCACACTCTGTAGTGTTTCCCTCCAAGAGATGTTCCCCATTCCTGACCTTGTCTTCTCAGCCCATACAGCAAATCATCAGAAAGGGTACCACCACTTTTATTTGCTATAACAGTGAAAAAACCTTCCAGGACAGTGGAGTTTTAAGAGCTTTAAAAGTCATTCTCCAAAACTGAATTTGTGCAGCAGGTAATATGATATCAACCTTTCAATTACTCTCAACAGAAAGTTTGATATTAGTAATTTTCAAAGAGCTGTTAAGTGATAAAAATTTTTACTGGCCATGAAGTTAAATTGACTACATGTTGAATGGAATTTTAATAATAATAATTTCAATAATAATAAACTGAGTGCGTTGTCATGGGAAGAAAATATTGAAAGTGGACAAGAATCAAAAGCGCTTGAATTTGCTTTTTGCAACTGCTCATTTTTCTTCTCCTGGCTAAATCCCCATTCTCTTATACTTGGAGTAAAATTATGGAGCAGTAAAGACAGCTGTAAGAAAAGGTTCCATTTGTATTATCTTTCTTTCATCTTGAAATTTCCTTTTTTTTTTTCATAATTTTTTTTTTTTTTAGAAATCACATCATCCACCACTTTTACCTAATTATCTGGTTGTATAACTTGTTTCCATGATCTCTTTTCCTTTACTGTGCATTCAAGGCTACTTTCTTTCACTTTCTCTTGTGTTGTTTTTTTTTTTCCCTCTAGCAGCTCTTGTTTTCATTTATATGAATTTAATCAAAAATGCATACCTGGTGAAAGCAAATTGTCTAACATAAACCATACTCACGGTTTGGATGTATTTTACATAACCCACAGTTATTAGCAAACAATAAAAAGTATATTGAAATGTGATCTTTTAGTTACTATCTGTAAAGCAATCTCTTAAAATGCTGAAGATAGAAAAAAAGTAAAGAACCAAAAAATAAATCTGAGAGTGATGCTGAAGTTTCTAAGTTCAGCAATCATGACACCATTTTCCTGTAAATCACAATAATAACTTTCTCTGAAATGCTAATAGTCACTAACACTTCTGTGTGACATTATGTAGTTCAAAGAATTGTCTCTAATTCCACGGCTAAATAAACATACATCTAATTCTCTGGAAACTAAGCTATTACCCAGTTAGAAATATCACCTTCATACAATAGAAACTGATCTTAGAAAACAAACAAAAATTCACCAGGGAAGGAAGAACTTAATTCTTATTCAACATCACTACTGTGAACAATGTTTTAAATATCTTAGTAGGCAGACTGTTAGAACAAATAGCTAAACAAAATATCTGAAGTTAGTAATTATCAGTTTTAGGCCTGACTAACTAAATTACTACTCACTGAGGGTATAACAGTAATTATCATTATTGGAGTCCAATCTTGAACAGCAATCAATGTTCCAATTGCACGTGATACAGAGCAATTTACATGCTATTAGTGGGAAATAGAAAAAAAATCTCAGATTTAATTGCTCAGATGGAAGAGGAAATTGCTCACGAGAGATTTTTGTGGTAAATTAAAATCCACTTTGGTATTTTTGTTTCTTTTTTGGTACTATGCTCAGAGCTCACTGCATACAGGTGAGTTTTATGGTGAAAAAATAAATAGTGTTCAGGCATAAAGAATGCTAACATTTGGAAGTGATACTTTTAGCTTCGGAACACACAAAAAAGCAAAGGACACAGTGATATATTCCAAAATGATGATATTTAGTGTGGTAAACACAAAATAATCCTCTTAGAAAGTATTGTAACAAACAACTATGTGCCAAGAGCATGTAACTTCAGGCAGAAGAACAGCAAATGCAAGACCATAGAAGTAAGAAACTGCAAAATTCATTGTAAGGGGAGAAAATGTAAATGTAATTTAACATGTGTCAGAAAAAAGTTAGGCATTATGTAAACTACAGTAGCAGCTGTAGTCATGTAACAACTTTATTCAAAGAATTAACAGCTCTCAAATCTCATACCTCAGAGGAAAAGAATGTTTGAACTCTGGGTTAAGGGGAGAAAAGAGTCCTGTATTTGTATGAAGTACCTGCAATAGTTGTAGGTTCTGCTGTAGTTCAGATTCCTGGATTAGAGGTCTCTCCATGAGACTCTCCATACCACTTCATAAATTTGGCAATTACTGTTGGAATTAGTAGTGTTGGGAATCTTGATATCAACATGATGGCAATCAGTAAGCTGGATGAAGATAGCGATCCTTTGCCTACTCAGGCTGGATAGCAGTGGAGCAGGAATGAGTCTTAACACCACCCTCACTTTTTAAGTTGCTTTACTTCCTTTTGCTGTGTTGAACTGATGTTTTCATGGTGTTGATTGTGCTCCTATACTTGAACAGGAGAGAATACTAACAGTTTCTCTGAGTGTGATTTTGTTACTAAACTGATGTTAGAATCTGGTAAATTAGTGGTGCAAGTAAAATAGTGCAGGTAAACCCAGAGAGCTTCAGTGGATTCCATTTTCAGCTATATTTGTCCTTCAAAGACTTTTCCTTTTCATCTTCAGCTCTTTTATCTTAAAATATATTAAAAGAACAGTGGCTCATTGTCCTATCACCAAGATAGTGCATTGTATTATAACTGCTGATACTCCTGCCTTTGTCTTTTAGGTAGCAATGTTTATGCTGCAGTTGGGCAGAGCCACGTTCTTGTTAACAGAGCCAGTAATAAGCGCGATGACAACAGGAGCAGCTACACACGTTGTGACTTCACAAGTGAAGTATCTGCTGGGAATGAAAATGCCATATATATCGGGACCACTGGGATTTTTTCATGTGAGTTCAGTGAAAGAGATGGGTTACTTCATTAGCTAACATTTTATTAAATAACTACGCTATATGCTATATAAAGAGTAAGAAATTTGTTATGCACGTGTGTGAATGAGCACAAGATGAACCTTCATCTTGCTTTGTCTGTTTGTAAGAATGGATTTGGAAAACTTGATGAAGAACTAGCAGAAATGGGTCTTATTTTAAAAGGATACAGTAATCAATTTCAAATAGATATATGTGTTAAACCTGACGGTCATTATGGTAAAAGGAAATTGGCCCATGATTTGTGGATCTCCTATGCAAAAATGACCCAAAATACGTTACTTATTGCCTTATGACATGATAAACACAGCAAGTGGATAGATTTAAGGTAATGTTTATAAAATTCATTCAGCATTTCATACAGTAATGTTCCCGTGAGTGGTTAAGCTGCTTAAAGGATCACCATCAAAGGTATTGGCAAAAAATCAGGTTTTAATATGAACTTATGAAAGAGTGACTAACAGAGTTCAAAGGCAAGTTTCACTCTATTACTTATTCCATGGATGAAGCATACATAGGAAAATTGCATTAGAATCAATTTAGAATGATTTACATGGAGACTGAGGATGAAACAGGGTAAGGATACGGATACAAAAAGATAAGGTGTGCAAAAGGGCTGAACAGCACCTCATTATGGATTAATTTAGCATTTACGAAGTGATTAAATAGAACTTGCTATAATTATAACAGTGACCTAATTATAACTTCACAATAACATTCCCACCATGATCATTTCACACTCACAGACACAGGCAAAGATGTATACATCTATTTCTGTGCATGTACGGGTACCTGTCAAAGATTCCCTTCAAGTTCAGTGCAATACTAACGGCAAATACTGCAGTGTTTCTCAACAGGCATGGGTTGCACCCCAAGGTGTGGGGGTGTGTGGGGGTGTGTGGGGGTGTGTGTGTACCAGCCCAGGCCTCGTCCTAACCAATGGTCTTTCAAGTATTGCAGACTTGAAGGTTGATGAGGGTTGAAGAGGTGCCCATGATCCCAGAGGGAGGTGCTGGCACAGCCCATTGTGGCCCAGGAGGGCTCAGATGGCCTCTGACTTAAGACATCTGTGTTTAGGTTCACAAGGTGATTTGTTTTAGTCATTAATCAATTCCTATCCTGGCACTAACTCAAATCAATAATTAATGAAATTATTCAAAAGTCTAGTAACAATGGTAACATTCTATCAGTAAGCTTCCACCTGGGCCATAACCCAGCTTGGTAACTACGGGAGTTTCCAAAACATTTGGAAATTGTTTCCAAAACTCAAGCAACAATGGTGCTGTTCCACCTGGGCTGCAATTCAGGTAGGGTATGTCCCAAGGCTGTCAGGGAATGACTGATTATCGTTTGTTCCCTGCTTTGGTCAGACAGCTGAATTTGCTGCCACAGTGTTTTTCCCACCTGTGTCATGCAAGAGCACCTGGTACAGTCAAGGACACTTCACCACCCAGCTGGTTTGGTCAACGCTGAGATCGTAGGGCTGGCCCAAGGGTGCGGGGTGATGCACCACCCCAAGTATCATGGTTACTGCCTTTGGAAAGTACATATTGCTGGCTGAAAAGTTAAAGAGGAAAACATATTCTTGATGGTAACTTATTCCATCAAACCCTGAGTTTAGATGCTGTGAGCATAATCTCTTGGCATTAGTAATATTACGACAGTAGCTGCCAAAAAGACCTTTTTCTCATAATAAAACTTTACTTACTTGTTGAAGTGATACTTACATTGCACTGATAGTGAGGCTTCATTTAGTTAGACGCTAAATCAGGACACCTTATTTAAAAGCACTGACTGTATCTTCCTGCCTTGCTGTGCGCTTTATTTTTTTGCTATTATTTTGAGAAATTTGTTAATGGGAAATCTCTAATAAGAAAATGTTGCTTTTTAGAATGGTTTTTCGTAGTATTTTATAAATTTGATAACTTTTTGTATGGATAATTCATTAATAAGTTTTTTACAGGACCAATTCATTAATGAAAATTAGGGGCAAGTAATAAACACAAGCAATTTATCTTGTAGGGGCATAGCTAGAAGTATCATAGCCATTTTTATGAGTTGGCTTGTGAAACTATTACAAATGATTCATCATATATTAAATTTTTTTAAATTCTTTAAAAATCTTTTCATAAATAATTCTTAATATAAAACGTGACTAGCCTCTTTTTCATGGTGTTTCCATGAAACATTCCTATACTTACATATAGGAATACTGTCATCTTGTACACATAAGTGGTGTTAAGTACCACAGCCAAAACATAATCAAAGTATACATTATGAGCAATAATAAAGAACAGCAGTGATATGAAGAAATAATTCCGTGTTGGTGTGCTGATGATATCATAAATGAGGTAATTCAAATGCTTTGAAAGAAATCTATTCCCTTATCCCCTGTATTTTTTAATGTATCTGAAACAAGTTCCTTGCCCTTCACTTCTCTTTTGAAATCAAACCCCTTTGAACATTTTCCAAAGAAAAGTTTTCTTGATTTCTTTTAAGGTTTTGAGTTGCTCTGTAGAATTGACCAAACGAAATTCATTCTGTACAACTTGAGAGAATAATAAAAAAGGGACAGTTTTACCATAGAAGTGTTTTAAAAGGTTTCTAGTATCTGTTCAGACTTATGGGTTGCCTTAAGAAGGTCCAATATCTCAGTCAGAAGTACCAGGTTTAGATTTTAACAGCAATTTTCTTCTGTGGTGGTAGTTTTATATGAAAATTATACTAATTATGTATAAGTTAGTTTGCACATGTAACTAGAGAATGAAAGGAAAATTTGTCATGTTTCTCTGGACATGTTCTTTACTTCAAATTCTCGAAACCCAAAGACTGGTATTTTGCTTACATTTTTCTTCTTTCTCTACTCCAAAACACCTCCCACTCACAAAACCTATTGCTTTGCCTCAGGCAGCCTTTGGGTTGGCAAACCAAGAATAAGAATGTTTAATAAAGTGTGATAGAAGAGTTGCAAGTAAAGCAAGGCAGTGAAATGGATTCTTTATAGCAAGTGAGATCATGATTGAATGAACTTTGCATGTGGAAAACAAATTTAGTAGGCTGGCCTTGAACCTATGGGTTTTTTTGTTTTTTACACATGGTTTACATAATTTCATTTTCTGTGTACATGGTTTGTAACACTGCAGTTAAAATGCACAGTGCAGCACCAGTTGATACTTTGCAATGGAAAAGGCAAGGTGAAGGTGAAGAAGAAAAATGATGAGGGAATACTACATGAGATCTAATTTTACAACGCCCAAGAAAAACGTCATCAAGTTTTACTTAGCATCTGAAAACAGAAGAAAGTATCTGCATTTGCCCTTTATTTATGTATAGATATATTTCTCTTTCCACATGTTTCTGAGAAAATACAGCACTGCAAAATGAACTGCAAGTAAGAAACTTGATTTGCAAAACAGGGGTTTTTGTGGCTGTGTTGCAAGTTTGTTGTCCTTGTGTGGTTTTGTGCAATTATCTGAAAAAAACCCTTCATGTTCCCACTATCAGCTCTTTTTTTTCTCCTTTTTTTCCCAATTTGTTCCCTATACAATTCACAGTAGTTGCCTGTACATTTTCCCTCTAGTGTGATGTATTTGTCTAACAAACTTTGGAATTAAATATTTTTGAAAATGCAATGAGGTTTTCCACTCTTAAAATGTATTAAGTATTTTAAATAACAAGTTCCTTTAATTCTTTTGTTTGCTTCAGCCTCTATACTCATTTTACAGCTAATCTTTTGGGGTTTCATATATGCATTAAAAAAATCCCTCAGAGCATTTCATTAATACATCAGAATACACATCCTTTCTAGAATATAAACCATTATAATGTTCAATATTACCCTATGAAAGTATGTGAAAATACAGGGACATTCAGTATCTGTATACATATGTGCAAAGCTAAAATACTGCTTTTTACATTTAGGTGCAAATTTGCATTGATTACCAAAAAGTTCCTTGATTCCTCTTCATATTGTCAGATAGGTTCCATTAAGAATCTTTACACAAAAGTAGCTAAAAAAATTAAAACTACAGGAGGCAAACAGCTCAATTAATTTATTACTGATTTTAAAACCTTTTTTAAATTATATAGTGACAAATATTGCTTTTTACACTGCAATATAAAGCTAAATTCTGCTGCATAATTTCTAAATTATTTCAGTAAGTGTGTCCTCAAAATATGTGAAATACTGAATTTATAATGACGTTTGTGATTAAAACATTTGTAAATATCTCTTTGATTCAGATGCTGGTGCTATTACATCCTTGAGCTTTAGGTACTTACATTTAGGATATACAGTTTTACTTTGGATGAGTAGAGTAACTGAGTGGACAGAATACCATGTAAAATGTATAGTATAAAGAGATGGCTATAGTGTGTTAACTACATTCATGTTAAGGGCCATATACTCTTTCTTTCTTGTGAAAGGTCTTCACTGGTCATATCATGAATTGAGTGCTTTTAGGTTTTCAGAAAATGGTTATCCAGGAACAGACTAGTCAGTAGAAGCTCTTTAGTCTTATATATTTATGTATTACTGCCAGAATTGTTTCAGTGTATTACAGACACTTTGGGGCTGTTGGGGCTACTGAATTCATATGGGCTATGAAATGTTGGTAGTTCCATTCTTTTTCATTTATTGGCTGAAGTAGACTACATCCTGAAGGGTATGATTTGAAGAGAAATACAGAAGAATATTCTAGGCAGTTCACATAATGTTTTTGTTGCAAAGTCTGAAAAAGCTATGGCAAAGATTTACAAGATTTGGCTATGTATTTTTACAATGAAATGGAAGTGTCTTTTTAGTAAATTTAAAAGAACAACAGAAATTCTTAGAGTTTATATATACTTCTCTGTAAGCCTTCATTAAAAATGTATTTATTCAGTCAATTTTATGTCTAACTTTGTCTAGGAAAATTAGATTTAATGCCATGAACACAGATAGCTAATGCTGACACTTTCATAGACACCACTCATTTCATAATGAGCCCACATCTCTTTGATTTTGGAATCAACTCATTTCTTCCCTTTTCTTAACACTTCACCTTAGGTCTAGCTGACTCTTTGGTGAATTTGTGGGCACAGTTTTCCAGCCTAGCTTTTGACTGGGCACTGAGCCAAGTCATGTGCTCTCTTGAAAATGCATTCTTGGAAAATTATGGGTACAGAGACTAGTACCAAGACACTCAAGACACAATCATCTGAATACAGTGGAGCACCGTGTGGTTAAAAACTGGTTTAATTGCCATTCTTCAGATTTAAGACATATATAGATGTCACTTAACAAGCTCATTTTAAAATGTTTTCTTGGTTTCTGAGAAATGTTTGTGTTGTGTTATACTGTGCATCCTTAATTGAAAGTCCAAGGGCTAAATTTCAAAGAACTGGACTACTTTTTCCTCTTTATGAGTAAAGTTACATTCCTGTAAGCATTTTTAGGTTGGTTTTTTTTCCCCTTTCTAGATTATGAAAATATTCTCAGAAATTATGAGCAAGGAAAAATCAGGAAGTTATTGTAACTTACTCATTCTTCAAAATGAGCATCACCACTTCAAGGAGTGACAGAATTAGAAAAATAGAACAAAGCTTATCATCATACTGACCACTTTTCTGCTAGAAAAGGGTTCTTTCCTAAGATAATTTTTCTAGTACGTTTTCCTACCCAATATAAATATATGTATTTAAGCTCCACACTGTCAAACTTTGTTAGCATTATACATGTATTTGAGAATAGGTTCTCTGGGGCAGAAAATTATTAATATTTATTTTGATAAAACTGCAAGTGTCACTTTTCATTTATTTTAGTGGTCTTCTTAGTCATAGCCAGAGAAAGCACTTTTTAAAAAATATTATTATTTCAAATCTCAGTTCCTTGCTTTTATTACCCTTAATGTTGTGGTTTAAAAAGAAGTTACTTGTGAAGATGCCTAAATCTATATCCTAGATCTTAACTTCTGTTCTGTCTACAGTTTACAATTCAGAATACACAATAGTTCCCAGCATACAAATGCAAAATTCAAGGGACTGAGCCTGCCTTGTTTTCTTTCCTTTACAGTTTTAGTAAGCATGAGGATTGTATCCATTTTTATGGCTCATTGTTCCTCTGGGCAACAGACTATTGCTTTTGTTCATGAGGCCTGAACATAAGTTGTAATGAGGATCTCATTATTTCTTTATTTATCAGGATAGAAGTTCCCTCTAACTTTCTCAACCCCTTCTAACCATTTCAGTAAACTTCTAATTTTTTTCATTACTTGCTGTTAATCTGTTTTCATACTGATTTATGCCTCATTTCCTGAACCCATAAATTCAGAGTAGAGCCAAAATGACAGTTCACTGTGTCATCTATGCTGGTATGAAGGCAACTACAATCTTCTGAATCTGTTACCTACAACATCGTATTCATCATCAGAGACTCCTGTTGCTCATCACCATTAGTCATTCTATTCCAGTTCCATATTTCTATTCCTTACATTCAGCACCATATTTCCTTTCTTCATCACAGATCCAACTATATTTTTCTAACCTCTTTTACAGTATGTTGCAGCACACCTTAACCTCTGAAAAGCTGAAGGCCTCCCATTCACAGCTCCATAGCTCTGCCCCAGTCTCATCTTCCTCTTTTAACTCCGCAGTCAGCAGAAAAGGAAACAAACAGGGCTTAGTAGATAACAGTAGTTAATTAAATAACCAATAACATGTACACAAGCTTGGTAACTAATTAGTGTGTGGAGTCTCTAGACCTACACTACTACGGAGCACTGTTTCTGTAAGGGGAAAGAGCAACCAGTAGGGAAACTGAGGATGCCCTGCTGAAGTTGTACAGTTACTCAGGAAAAATATTTGGATGGACCTCCTCGCAGACTGCCGAGTGTGTCCTGAAGAGGATGGTCATTTTGGAAGATTCCTGTTGCATCTCTTCCCATCCAGCCATTACTGCACTTTATTTTCCCTTTTCCTTCTTCCTCTTTCTCTATGTCTTTTCCCCTTCTTTCTGTCTTTTAATATTTTTCCTCAGAAATAACTTTTATTACTAGAGTTGGTGGATGTTATATGCTGTGGACACTACAAATAAATCTTTGTGCATGAAGCTTTTCTCTACACTCATTTATGTTGCTGATTTTAATGAGACTGAATAAGAAAAGGAAACATATCACATTTATTGGAAATTTGTTGCTTGCTTCTACCAATAGAAGTTTGTATATTAATATATACAAATATTCACTGCAATTTTTTTGAGTTTTAAAAAGTCCATAGTAATAGTAAATTGGTGATTTTCTTCCTTGTAAAATCTAAAGTATAGGCCAGTTTGTCCAATAACTCAGCTCCTGCAGTATTGATTCAGCTCTCACTGATTATTTAAGATGTCTGAAGTTGTGTAGAAGATGCCGTAGCATGTGATCCGGAATACACTTTTTGACCTGTAATTGTTATTTGCTGCTCACTGTAGATTTATGCCTACGTATTTGAGAATATCAGATCAGTTCAGCTGGAGGCTTTACTTCTCTCCTTGCTGAGCATTGTGGTGCTTGTTCTTGTTAAAGAACTGAATGAGAAATTTCAGAGAGACATTAAAGTTGTTCTTCCCATCGATCTACTTCTGGTGAGTACAAAAATTATATATCAGGCTTTTTCTTAGTAAGCTTTAAGTGGTTCAACTAATCTACTAAAGTTTACTGTGCTGTCCATAGTTACCTACACCCACACCTGACACTTATTAAATGGACAGCTAATTTTCATGGCTGTATGTTAATTGTAAGAACAAGAAACAATAATTAAGAAAGAAGTGACATATGCTCCCAATTTGTATAATATTTTTCATATGTTTACTACTTTTTACATAGTCGCAAGAACACAAAGTTAAAGTGTAAGAAGTTTGAAATAGAAAGTGAAAAGTAACCAGCACACGGTAACTCCAGGCAAGTTTTGTGCTGAATAGTTGTGGCTTAAATATTGCTTGTTATTTATTTGTAACAAAGTTAAATATCTATGCTGTTGCTTTATATAATTTTACTATTTGTTTTAACAGTTTTCCTTTAACATGGCAGAGACTAAATTGAAATTAACTATTGGATTATAAACCTCTGCTTTAAGGATTAAGCTGTAGTCATATGATCAGCACCAGGGTAGAAGGTTTCTGGTTTTCTCTAAGCCTCTAAAACAAAATATAAAATATGAAGGACAGGTGCTTTTCATGGTGGATTGTCACAATTAATCTTCTTTTGCTGGAAAAAGTTATTTACAAAAGAATAATTTTTATTGGGCAAAATGCTGGAAAAGGAGGTAGTGTGGTTCTCTTCCATGCTTTAAGATCTGTTCCTATGTTACCTTTTTTAAAATACTGGATAAAATGTACCAGTAAACTAAGGACTGTGGACTGGAACCCATGCCTGTTCTACTGGGATTTGTGTGTTCATCTCACAAAAAGTATGGGAAATGATTTTGAACCTCTTTGGGGTCAAACTTTCCACTGCTCAGTAAGATTCATACCTACTGGAACATAAAAATAAGAGGCAGACATATATTCTGCTGTCTTTTGTGCTGAAGTCAACAATGCCAGTCTGGATTAGATGTGCTCAGAGAACATCTTCTGAATCAGACTATACAGGGACACCTAAATTACGCACCTCTTTAAGCTTCTCACATGAATGGCAGTGGTTTGGGGTGCAGGATGAGTAGAGGGAGTTTGGACACTGATTGGCAAGGTTCCTGAGGCTCTATAGAGGCTCATACAAATCTCTTTCACTACCACAGAATGTACAAACTGCACAATAGTCCTTCTCCAGCCATCTTTTCTAAATTCATTATTGTGTCCAGATCTCAGTTTCTTTTGACTCTCTTTCACATTTGCAAAAATTTCATAATAACATTTTGCTGTCTTACTAGATTGATCTAAGGATAAATGTATGAACAGTTTTATGTGCTTAGGTGTGTCAATAATAGGGACCATGTCAAAAGCTAAAACCAATAGAAATATAATGTCTTTTTCTTTGTTGAATCAATAGATAATTGCTACATCCATTGCTTGCTACTATGCTGATATGGAATACGTCTATGGCCTAGAAGTTGTGGGACATATTCCTAAAGGGTAATGTGCTTTTTATTAGTTCGTGGCTTTTAAATATGTTTATTGCTGAGAACAGTCTCTGAAGAGGTCAAAGTAGTTTTCCAAAATAAGAAGAGGCAAAAATCTATTATATTCATTTCCCATCTCCTCAAATACTCTCTCACAATTCAATTCAACCCCACGTTAACAAGTTTTATCTGTATAGACACCATTGCAAAAATGTATTCTTGTACATTTTCATAGCTTTTTATGACTTTATGGAATAAAAAGTAGGCACTAAATACTTGATATATGAGAGAAGGGCAGAACACTCTCTACAAGATTATTGCAACCTGCTTTTTGAGAGTTGCCTTGGGCTATTGTAGCAGAAAGGACTTGCAATAAGATTTATCAATTACTACACTTCATTCTTCATATAGTAATTTTAGACAATGCAGTTTCTGAGGAAATGCGAAGGATTTAATTATGTTTAATCTAAAAAGAACATTTTTACTACAGTTAGTGATACACTTTTCTCCATGACCTTGAAAGAAGGCAAAAAAAAAAAAAAAATCAGTATAAGTAGCTGGAAAGAGAAATGAGATTAATTTTCAGACAAAATGTTCAAACTCTACAGGTTGTTATGGAAGGGCACAGCTGTTGTGTAACCTCCTGTTTGGATATTGCAGGGTTTCCCTAAATATCACAAAGTACAAGTTCAAGGTATCGTAAGTGCCTGTGTGGTAGTTTGCACTGATACAAATAAAACAAGGGACATTTCTGAGAACAAAAATTGGTTTTAAGTATTTAGGGCATGCTATGAATCTGAGATCAAAACAGGGCAAAGTGTGCCCCTTCAATGTGTAATGAACAGGTAAATTGTATTTTTGCAGCTTTAATCAGGAATTTATTTTCTGTCTAACTTCACACGAGTAGTGCTGAAAAACAGAAGCAGAGCCTGAATCATTCCTGTGTATTTTTAGTCATTTACCTGAAATATCGAACTGCCTTTCCAATGAAGAGTATCAGAAACCTTAAGAGCACAATTTGTTTCTCAGGTGGTACGATTTGTGCTCTGGAGAGACCAAAGTCTTTTTGTGGGGTACAATTTAGGGTGATTTGTTGTTTTGTAGCAGTCCCCATTAGAAGGTCTCCATTAGATGAAATAAATGTCCTACTGTCCATTACCTACAGGATATGAAATTGTTTAAAAGGTTTAAATTAAACTTTACAGGAAAGCCAACTATTAAAAAAAAATACAATAGGGTCTCTTCTACTGAACATTAAAAAATTAGTGAATGGTTGCTGATTTTATCTCTCAGTGAGGGAATTAAATTGAATACTCCATCTGAAGCTGTTTTATCTTCTTCTACAAATTCTCTTCTGCAGTTCCCGACAGACTGAGATCTTATTAATCTAAAATATTGAAAAGTGTCACCTTACAAGTAGCAGAAAAATTAGCCATGCATGCAGAGATCGTTTTCCTTGTATTTCCATTAATTGCAGGTTTATAGAGACTGTGTATCAAGTTTTGAAAAAATTCTTGTCTTTATTTTTTATAGGTTGCCATCACCGAAAATGCCACCCATGAATGTCCTGCCTGAAGTAGTCACTGAAGCTTTTGGAGTAGCACTGGTTGGTTATGTGGCCTCACTAGCTCTTGCTCAAGGCTCTGCTAAAAAGTTTAAATACACTGTGGATGACAACCAGGTAAAGCTCTTTCTCCTTCCTGTCACCAAGCCTTGACATCACTTCATCATTTTGGAAAAGTATTATAGATGAATGTCCAGTAGGAAAGGGTATGTTCCCTATGGCATCTGATGCCTTCTAGTGATTACAGAAACACCCAAATGTTGTTCAGATCATCTCTGCAGAACACCCTCGCTGGTTGAGGCCTTCTTTTAGGGAAGCGCATCCTTCAGGATAGTCTTGTAAGACTACATTTGGTGCAGCATTTGGACAACAAAGCATTTTTCACTGCTCTAAGGTGAGACAGCTTTTCCTCTGGCAGGTGAGCTCTTAAAGACAAATTATGATGTTAAATCAGCCACTGATTAATGAAACAAAGCAATTCTAAAACAAAACCAGGTACTTATAAGCCCCAGGACACATCTGATGTTATAAAAGGAAGTTATTTTACGTGAAGTAGAAGTCTCATCTGAAATAAAGGTTTATTTGTACAAAACAAGCAGGGTGGGTTCAGAGAGTGCTGCCAAATTTACAGCCATAGGAGCTTTCTTTTCAGATTTCCACTTTACAGAGGACATGCTTAAATAAAACTGGGCCATTATTTCTACACTACATTGCTTGTCATGGTGGGTGGGTAACTCCAAGTCAACTGGAAATCCATGGAGACAATAATTCAAGCACTGTGGTAAGAAATACTCAATTGCAGATAACTGGCAATAGTAGTGTGTGATGAAAACACTGCCTCCACCTTTTTGTTAAGTGATTTGGGATGAATGACATAGGGTTGGCTTTGCAGCTGGAGGTCTATTTGAACCCCCTATTTAGACAGATCAGTCTTGCTACATCAGTTCCTCTGCTTTACAACTCTTATGTCATTGGAAATTATAGTGGGAATGGTCTTGCCTACTCAGGTCTCTAAAATATTTTTCAGTATGAATACACTGGGCCATGAATTTCTGTTGATGCTTCAGAGCCATGTTTTCTAGGGAGCAGCGGGAAAACGCTTTGAGCTTAACACAGGCCAGACATCACAGTGACATGCTGCTTTGTTTCAAGGGCACTCAATGGAGCACAGCAACCTGTACGTCTTCCTGCAACTTTGGAAGTCTTGGAGCTTACGCAGCTAATTACTGAAGCCTTGGAAACTATGTATATGTCTGCACTGAATAATGGAGCAAAAGAGCAAAACCTCCATGAGGAGAGAGCAGTGGTGTGGCTGTACTGCATTCAGGGGCCAGGCACAGTGCTCTGCATGGTGCCATGTGGGAGGGTGTGTGTGAGGCTGCCTGGGAAGCTTTTAGGAGGTACTGTGCTGTGCTGTGAAGATAAACTTATGATCAGGTGTTCTCCTGGCTGGATACAGTACCATTTGTGGCCCAAGCACTTCTGAGGTCTTTTCTTACACATTTTCCTCAGCAGACCAGTATGCTTCAAACAGTCTGGGAAGAAAACTGATGCTGGGTGGCCAAGCAGGAATGCTTCCTTAGAAAACACTGTTCAGCTTAGGCTGCACGTACAAGGTGGCTTCTCCACTTTTTCTTCTATAAATCTTTGGTCAGACGTGTCTGCATTTAGACTGTGAACAAACACCAAATACATTTGTGATGAAAGACAGCATGCAAATAGTACGGCTGCCACACTTCACTTTCACTAAAACATCCTCTAAAAGAAACAAAATCAGTGTCTGTCTTTATCCAGTAGAGTCATAAGCCAGAAATGATCTGGACATTCTCCAAAAATAACTATCTGGGGCTCTGGCCAGTTAAAAGGCAGATGTAGATCAAGATGTAAATATTTTGGTTGAACTTTGTCTTCAAAACTTAGCAATAGTGTTATTGTGTGAACAAAATGTGCCTCCTGCTTTTGATGAATCTGGTTCAGCAGCTCTATCACTCAAATTAATTCTGAGTTGTGAGAAGATATATTCTGTTGGGAAATCCTTTTTCATGAACATATGTGATTTTTTTTCCTTCAAAAATATGCCCATCCTTTATCAGTTATTTACATCGGGGACTCCTTTGTTGGCAAGAGGGATTGAAATGACAGAACAATAGGAAAAAAACATCTTCTGTTTAACAACTTTGCAGGAATTTTTGGCTCATGGCCTCAGCAACGTGATTCCTTCATTTTTCTTTTGCATACCAAGTGCTGCAGCGATGGGACGGACCGCACTTTTGTACAGTACAGGCGCCAAAACACAGGTAACAGGTTAGAGTGAAGTAAGTCAGAGAATTAAAACCGTAGTACTGCTCACTGGAACTTGTACTGATTTGTGCATTGTGTTTCCCTATTATCCCTTCTCCTCTGTCCTGGGAATGACTCTGCCCTGTCATTTTTAACAATCTGCATGAAATTGCATCTGATCAGCAATGTCTTCCTAGGAAAGCTAATGGTTCCAACTTACTCATTTTTACCTGCTTAATTCAATATAAACTGTCAGGTCTGTGGCATCAAGGAGGTTAGGAATTGTGTTTTCAGGCTGCAGAAAGCTACGTAAAAGCCCTTTCAGTTTATGTGAATTTGTCAGCAGTGTAACAAAAGTGCCCTCCAATGGTGTTTAATGGATTTAGTAGTACAGCCTAAACTGAGGTTTTTAGGTTTAATAGCGAGAATGGTGGTGGTTCTAGGTTGATGGTTGGACTTGGAGACCTTAAAGGTCTTTTCTAACCTTAACAATTCTACAATTCTGTTGTCATTTTATAACTGTTGCTCTTGCCTGTATAAAGGCCATTAGCTGCAAGGAAAAAGGTAATGAGGTACAACTGAAAAGGCTAAGTACAATCCATAGGTATTGTTTCTTCTTGACCATGTCCTGGAATTATTTCACATGCAGATGCCACAATACTAAGGAATTATACAGGGCTTTACTTCAAAAATCTACATGTTAATTACTTGCTAATTAGCCTACAGGGTACTCCTAACTCAAGTAACCATAATGAATAATCTAATAAATAATAATCTTGAAAAGCATTTCTATGCAAATAGTTTAGCTACCACTTGTTATTAGTTATTTCATATATTTTTGTTGGATTCAATGCTGTGTCTTGTGCCCTCATCCTTATAGACATCCTCTTCTGCAACCTGTCAATGTACTGATTGTACAGTTTGCAGTTGTACTGCATCATGTTATGCTGGCTTTTTCAAGGAAGATTTAAGGAAACCTGAAGACCTACACCTGAAAACCTATAACCTGAAGGCATATAGGGTATTTGAGCACTTTGGCTTTGGTGCATGTAGGCAAAGGCCCTGATAGAAGGTTATTCAATACACGAAATGGAAAAAGAAATCACCATAGTTTGATTTCAAGGTAGGAGATGCATGGCAAAAATCTGCTTTGTTTTATACAGTGATTTCACAGTATAGCAGAGCCTGCATCTGAAAGTTAGAGTATGGCTATGAGAGTACTTCAATAAATGTAACGATCTCTCTCCTGCCTTTTTTTTTGGAAAGCAACACATCCAGTTGATCCTCCTCTTTGTGGCTGCCTAGGCAGAAAGAAGAGATGAGAAAAACATCACTTGTAAATGTTGGTCAAGTCATAGGCAAAAAGAGAGAGGGGTTCCTTTGATTACATAGAGACAAATGAGTTTAGCATAGGTCATGGAAGTAATGCAAAGAGACTTTCAGAGGCACAGAACTGCCCTTTTTTCTCAAATGGCTATACCTGGGTTTCAGTTTTGCCATTTGTTCTTCAGTGATATCTTTTCCTGGGAGAAAACAGAAGTGAGGGACTCTATCATGGACTAGAAGTGTCCTTCAAACAGAATCAACGCTTTTTTTGCTTGCTGTTTGTGAAGGCAGAAGGAGGGAAAAGTTCCTTGTGACTTCACCAGCAGATTTTCTGTCCCTTTATCTGTAAACACTCTGTCTATCTTTCTTGATGGTATTTTTAAGTACACCATGACTTTAATTTTCTAGTGTTTTAGCAACTTGTCTGGTTTTGTTTTTAACAACTTGTCTCTTAAAATGAAACCTAATTATTTAAGTAAAGAAACATATTATCGATATAAATTTAAAGTGAGCATCTGTCTACTTATCAAAAACCTTCTGTGAATCTGAACTGTATCTTTATAAGAGCAGAAGAACTCAGTGAACACTCAGAGTGAAGTAGGACAGTGCAATTTTACTGTAGTTTTCAATCAGATTAATACCATAAATACTGTGAAGAAGCATATAATTACTAGGCCATATATTTTTCTGGATTAATTTTACCTACATTAATTATGATTTTTAAAATATTTTTAAAAACTGTACTCACATTTTCTAAAGTCAAGTCCACTGATATTAACATGAAATCATTAGTGGTTTTTGACTTAACACAATACTTTTCTCTTAGTGTTAATTCCAGTAAAAGAAGTTAAATGTCTTCTGCAAAAATGACAACATACATAACTTCTGCTTAGTGCTATAACAGATCTGCTATTTAGTGCAACATAGGGTGCATGGCTATAAATATGTTACAGAATGACACTGGGTGCTAAGAAACTTCTGGGATGAGATATTGCACACACATGCTCCATTTAATAACCAAGTGCATAAGTGATGCTCTGCTCTATGTCTGTGTGCTGGTAGCAGGGTCAAGCACAGATGTCGAGATTTCTCACTGTGTTTTCACTGTAGTTGGTTGAAGGTAATCACCAGATATTAAAACTAAAATTATATGCATCTGCAATTCACAGATATGTTAAGAGCTAACATCTTCAGCATCTGATTCTTGACTTTATCTACAAAATTTTATAATTAATCCTTTTCACAATTTTTTTTGGTGGTTGTTAGACTGATGATCTTCATTTCTTGTTTATTGTTTTAGATGGCTTGCCTTATCTCTTGTGTACTAATTCTTGTGGTGATCTATGCAATTGGACCTCTGCTGTACTGGCTTCCTATGGTATGGTACTTATCTTTTTTAAAGATTAAAATGTTAAACACTTTCTAATGAAAATTTTTTTCAGGGAAAGGCAGTGCTACCTCTAAAACAGCTCTATTTAATGTCATTGGGGGAAAGGATAGTAAGGGCACAGTAAGTCTCCAAATCATAAAATACAGACGTGACAACATAAGACATATAGATTTTACACATATATAGTTGCACATATAGGCTATTACATAAGCCTTCCCAAATCTTCGTTCACGAAGCCTAGCCATGATAAGTAAATAAAAAATTGCATTTCTCTTCTACTTGCTTTTGGCCTGTAATTTATGAAAAACATACAGCCAAGTTGCTGTGGATTTGTCAATTGACAAAATGTGCTAGAAATTAATAAAGATTTTCAATATTTCTCCAGGTATGCATATGATACATGACTTTGCTCTTCAAATAAATTTGACACAAATTATTTTAGATAGTGATCTAAGCTTAATTATAGAAAGATTATGAAGTATTCTTATATCTCTGTCATGGAATACATCTTCTATGTTAAGACTATAAAACAGTGTGGCATCTTTTCACATAAGCTATATTTGTCTTTTGGTATTACAAATTAATGGTTAATTTTAACTAGAGGCATGTCAAAGCTGCAAAATACAGCTCCAAAACTGTCCACAATTTTGCCATGTTTCTACATGAAGTTTTAACTCAACTATGTTTTAAATTTACTTTATGCTATTGTTTATATGGTGTCATGAAAGTTCTCACTTTTCAAACAGATCCTTTTATAGCTTATTTTAAGCATGCAAAATAAGGACACTTGAAGAGGGGTGTACAGTATGTCCTTTTTTTACTTTCTTACTTTTTTTTTTTTACTTTCCTACTTTCCTACTTTATTTTTTTAAAATGGATTATATGTAAATTTTGACTGGTTTCCTGTAGGCATTTTTCCCCATATTTAAAATATACTTTTTGATTGTTACTTTCTTGATATTTTATTTCTCTTCTAATATGTTTTTTCAGCCCTCCCCACCTACCCACTGCAAGTTCATTGGTTTGTACTCCATTCTTTTTGGTTATAGATCATCCATCATCCATATCCTCCTCTTTTTTGATTCAGAGAACAACAAATTATTTTGTTTGCTTCAAAATTAATGGGCTTTTGCCCCAGAGACCTTCGCTAGGGGAAGGAGAGGAAGTGAAGAAGAGGAATTAAAATTCTTCACTGTGTAGAAGTAGAATGTTGATTTGCTTGTGAGTACTTCAGACTATGGGAGAATGTAGCTGGTCTGGTGACACATGAAGAGCCTTGGGTAGTCCTGAAATTTCTGTAATTTTTCTCACGATTAGGTGGCCCATAGATTGCGTTCACAAAACAAACAAACAAACAAAAAACCCCAACGAAACAGGGGTGACGCTCTTAGTGTTTATGTCACAAGGACACCTGTGCTTATCCCATTTTTGAAACACTAACCATTTTTTTATAATTTCATTATAAAATTGACTGCTAAATAAAAGAAAGAGCATTTGTTTTCACTTACAATTCTGCAATTCTTTTGTTTTTATGTCTTTGCAGTGTGTCTTAGCAAGCATTATTGTTGTGGGCTTGAAGGGGATGCTAATGCAGTTCTGTGACTTAAAAAAATATTGGAACGTGGATAAAATAGACTGGGTAAGTCAAACTTAATCTAAGGAGGTTTTCCTGAGACTTTTTAACAAATACCTAATAAATAAACTTTAATAGTTCTGTGACCCTAGAAGATATAAGTGCAAGCCATTAGTATTTTTGTGTACTACTGGCTCAGAATAACAGCATCTCTAATATCAGTTGTATTAAAAAATGGCATTTTAGCAAATTACAAATAATCAAACCTAATTTAATGGTAGCAATGTGTATACAGACCAATCAGGTTAATGTGTGCAAATATGTGTTTAATTTTTATGCCTTCTCTATCTGGTTGACATAAGCTTTTGCTATTGTAGTATTATTGGAGAGATTTGGGTATCTTTGTCCTCTGGGGACATGGAATGACCATACAGGAAAAAACAGAACTGGAAACACTGGGGATGCAGAAAGATACGTGTTGAGGGGTTGTTGTAGGTAAATTGCCTTAACTCTTTCAGATTTTGCAAACAGAATATCTATTGTTCAATCATAACAAAAGATTCTGTGCTATGAGGGGAAGAATATATCAGAAATCTAGTTTAATACAAAGTCTGAATAGTCTGACAGAATTTGCACAGAATTCCTAGTGAATAGTAAAGACAAATCTATGTGTGAGAAAGTCCTGGATTTCTCCTCTGTGGAAGTTTTTGAATGTATTGGCCAGTCAGTGGAACCAAAACTTCTAGGCACTTTCATAGATACATATATACTGACATCCCGTATATTTAAGGTAACTAATATTCAGAAAGATATTTTGACAATATTGTCATTCTCTGTGGTGGGAGATACAGTTTACTGGAGTTAATATTGGGCTTCGATGAACTCACCCGTGACTTTACAGTAGTAATGGTTAAGTCTGACTAATCATTTAGACTGAGTAAAATGTTTTTTTTAATGGGGTACTGGATTTAAGTATGGGAAATAGAGCTGGCTAAACAACAACAAGTTTGGTTATGTGAGTTTTTTCACATTTAGTCACAAAAAACTGGAGGTTTTTGGTTTTTGTTTGGTTTGTTGGTTTTGGTGGGGGTTTTTTGTATCAGCCAGAAGAAAAGCTTTATCTTTCATGCAATCTTATGCTCCTCAAACAGTAAAATTCTGAAAATATTTTCTATCACTTGTACTGTATTTGATCTTCAGTTTAACACATATTGCCAATGACAGAAATGGTGGATGATGTGGATCAAGAATTATTTTGGCTACACTGGACTTAAGAAAATTGGTAGTTACGGGAGAGAGATATATCTTCTCTATCAGTGCACTGAGAAAATAAGTAGTTAAGTTTTCCAGCAGGATATTCTGGAATGTCACTAGATTTGATGCATCTTCACAGATAGACTTGCCTGATTGATTTTTGCTTTTCTGGTTTTGGCAGAAAAGGCTGAATGAGTAGTTAGTTATTACCTCTCTGATGTCTATCATTCTGAAGAGACATTATAGAAAGGGGAATTTGCTGGGTTCATCTTTTTGACTGAACATACTTGAACAATGATTTGTCTTCAAGTAGTTGCACCATCAGTCCTTAGCTTGACAGGGTAAATCATCTTGCTTTAAACAGAATAGTTTAAAGTAAGGCTATAAACATTGATCTTGCATTGCTGCCTGCTCTGAGGAGCCCCACCAAGCCCAGTGATTTGTATAACTACACTGGTGTTATTTCGGCCTGAAAAGATTCACTGCAGCAATTGACAGAACACTGGAAATGAATTATTCAATCACCCAGGTTATCCAAAGTGTTTTGAAGATAGAAACTCTAACAAAATATTTGGAAATAATTAGCAGTTGTCCTTTCTGGAACTGATTCTTTGAAGGGTGTGTGTCACATAGCATTGAAGTCAGGTTTGTTATGCTTTTAAGTCTGGCAAATGATAGTGCATGGAAACAGAATATTATGGTGTTTGTTACCTTTTTTCTTCACACTTCCTTAAGCTTCTCATTGAACACAAATGGGATGAATAACATTTTCTTGTTGATTAGTTCTTTATAAACATAATATTTTTAAATATTAAAGGTTCAGTTCGAAAGGTACTGTTCAGGAGTTGGACTTGAGGATTTTCATTCATTCCTTCCATCACAGGATATTCTGTGTTTCTATGAAATTTCTTCTTTTAGCTATGGATAGCTTTTCCTTTCAGATTTAGTGTTTAGGATCAGCTGAGTTCAAATAAGCAGCTAGGCTGACAGACTTTAGTAGCCAATACCAAATATTATTGCATAAATTTGTTTCAGTTTTCTTTTGACTTCTTTTTTATCAACTCTCAGGGATGTCCTGTTTTACGACCTGCCTCTCAAATCACATTCAATTGCTTTCCAGATAGTACCCCACTGTCCTTATTCCACAGATCTCTTTCCTGCCATTCACAGCATCCATGTGAACTTCAAATGTCTCTTGCTTCTCTTGCCTTAAAAAGCTCTGAGGCATCACTTCAGTTAAGGTCTTCTGTCAGTTCCTACACCTTCTTGGTTGGATGACTTCAACAATTGCAGATTAATAATTTCACTATTGCACTGGGAGTGATTTGTCCTGATTTTTTTTCCTCTTTTTTTGGGGAACTATCAGGAAGCTGATCTTTGTCTGTGAGTATATCTCACTTCTCAGGTCCCGAGATCAAAAGTTGATTTCCATATCCGTCCTGCAAGCCTAGATTCTAATCTGGGCCAACTTGACTAACTTGCCTTTTTATTCTCCAGCTTGACAGTGCACTTTGCTAGAATCAATAAAAAGGCCAATAAAGTTCTTGTTAACTCTTGATTTTAAGGCTCAGCATCCCAGATAAGCTGCCTTTTAAGCTAGGCAAAAACTACTGCCTGGAAATGGACTGTTGAAGAACAATATTTTCTTTGCTGTTAATAATTGGACTTGAAAGCCACCAAGGATGGGGAAAAAGTATTTCAGAAGGTGATGCTCTAAGTGAAAAATGATAATAGAATAAGGATTATTTTTATAAGTTAATTATATAGCATGGATCTGGGGAATTCTACGTGGAAATACTCTGGCATTTAAAGAGAAAAAACTGTTTTAAGGTTGCACATATGACTTGACCACAAAATGACCACAGTTGAGACAAAGCCAGCTTCATGATTGACTTCATGATTCATAAAGCAGGAAGAATGGCAAGAATTTATGGTAAAAATTACACATTCCCTGCAAGGTGTTGTGATGTGAGAGGCAGTTATTGATACATGAATTGTAAGTACATGCACATATAATAATATTTAAGGATGTAAAGAATGCTACTAATTCAGAAATTAAAGTAGATCCAACAAGGAGGGTCTCATTTTTGACAAGTATCCTCCAAGATCTTGCCAGTGTTGGTTTCTGAGACATGGATCCACCACTCTTTCAATATATTTTGTCAAAATATTTAGAGAAGAGAGCCCAGGGACGGTCTTTCTTGAAATTTTGGAGTTCATTAGTGTAATTTCTTGGTTTTTTTAGAACTTCTTAACTTATTATCCTCAGGAGGGAGATGGCCTTTTAGATTTGTCACACATGGCTCCTGATTCATGAGAGTGCTCTAAGAGCTCTGAGGACTTTGCTATGTAAACAATTTTCTGCAAGGTAGGAAACCATCTCTTCTGTGAGAATAATTTTCCATCCATGCTTTTAGCTTATGACATCCTAGGGAGATTTTCTATTTTTCCTGCATTAGTGAATATGCTACTCTGAATTATATTACTTGTGCTGTAGTTGATCTCAGTGGGGTGGCAAGGAATTTGCAAATGCTTAATCCATTGAAAGTATGCTTGCCACATAAATAATTTTTAAAGAGTAATATTTGTATCAGTTCTTCTGTCTCCAGGGCTGTTTGAAAAAAAATACTGTCTTAACCATTGTGTATGGAATACTTGTGAAAAATTATATTAAAGGACTACCATACCACTTTATTATCAGAGGATCATTTAGGTTGGAAAAGACCTTTATAGACCATCTAGTCCAATCATTAACCCAGCATTACCAAGTCTACCACTAAACCATGTCACTAAGTGCATTAAGCAGTTTCTGCTCTATGTCTGGTGGTTTTCACTTCAGCCCTTGAATCATAAGTTTTGGTGAAGGGTGTGCTGGGGATGAATGCCAGTATCAATCATTTGTCTGCAGAAGGACGTGGGAGCAGGGTCATGTCACTCAGCCTCCTTAGAGCCAGAGCTTCCTCCAGGACTCCAGCATCTTCCCTGCTGAGACACTTCCTGAATGAGTAGGACTTTAATGGGATTCTTCTTTTGGCTACATGATGGTGATGGCAACATGGGCCTCTCTCTTTGAGCAAGTCATCACAGCCTCACATTACAGATAGTACAGAATTGGTCAGCTGAGTCATGTTAGGGTATGATTCATCTCTTCCTCAAGTAAGCAACAGCATAATCAGGTAGGAGTTAAGCAAACTGCATCCTAAATTCTCCTCACTCTGATAACCAAATCTGCATCAGTTATGCTAGGAAACTAGACAACTGAGCTGCCGACAGTTAATGCCAAGTGAGAGGAATTCTACCCGTTCAGGCAATAGCTGATTGTCTCAGTTTGCAATGAAAAAGGGAAGTTTATAATCTGGTTTCAAAGTGGTAGAGAAACATTTATTTCACCATACCTTAGCATTGCATAGTTTAGCCCTAGGTTCAGAAAGTGTTCTACAACTTATTTACATGCTTTTTTCCTACCAAGTTCCCGTTTCAGATGCTCCTCAACGGTGGATGATTAGATCATATGAAATGGAAAAGTCTAGATGGAGGCAGCTGCTATATACACAGTCACTGCACCTCTCAATGCTTCTGATACTTTCTCATATATACAGGAGTCAACATAAGTCCATTACTTCTGCTTGTTTCTTTGCTCCCTCTTTAGAATTTTTCTTTAAATTAGTACAGTACAAAGATACTTTGAAGGTGGATTTTGTTTTGACTTTTGAGAATAACGTGTCTGTAACACATTGTTGCTAAGATTTGAAGAGTGATTAGGTTCTATCTGTCCTGGACTATGCACTAACCATCTTTAAGTAAGTTGCCAAAGAAAACTTTAATATTTTTATGACTTCTTTGATGAACCTTGCAATAGCCCATAAAAAAAGTCTATCAGATCAACATAACTTCTTTCTACAAGTTTGATGCTACACTAACTAAAGAAGCACTGACGCCAGTACAAAGCACTGAAAGGGTGATTGACTAATGAGAATATAATTGTTTTGGCTCAACCTCTACATCAATGGCAGTCTCTGATTACAGTTAAGATGTAAGATACTAGGCTGCTAGAGAGGCACTCAGCTAGCTTATTCAGTACTCAGCAGTACTTAAACATTTTTGGCCTTTATTTTTCCTATGCAGACTGTATTGGGTTTTCATGTTTTCTTCTGAGATGTAAAAATTTTTCAGGTCTAGCAGCAGTGATTTAGTTAGATGTGATGAGGCTCAGGTCTGCAGCTGAAGTGAATTGCACTGAAGTGGATTCAGGTGTTGTCAAAGGTTCAGCCTTATCAGGATAGGCTAATTCTTGATCCCACCTGAACTTCAGGTTTGTGGTATTTTTGTTAGCCCTTTCATGTCCAGTGAGCTCCTTTAAAAATAAACACTGGCTTTGTAAATCTTAGCATTACTTTCTTACTGGTTAATTAAAAGTCATATCTGTTGCTCATAAAGGTATTTTTGCAAATATACACACAACAATTTGTACAAGATATTGTACATGTTAAAATACAACTGGTGATTGAGGACAGTCTCGATGAACTGCCTCTTTATCTAGCAGCTGTGCCGTTGAAGAGATTGCAAAACCTTTTGCAGAAATTAGGAATCTTGAAGTTGAGGGAGGGAAAGGTTTCTTGATAGAATCATGTAACACTGTCCTCTGTGAAGCACAAATTAGTACAGTATGACTTACATTTTATAATTCATAAAATAACAGTGCTGAAATCTGCTCAAGCAAAATTCCTGTGGTTAGGCTGAAAGTGTTCTATTGTCTCTGGCTTTCATGAGTTAAGTAAAAGCATCAGAAAGGATAATCTTAACATTGATCGTTTCATTGTAATGTGATCTGTTATTCTGCAAACATGAACAAGAAGCACTACAAGAAGTAATTGTTGAAATGGGCACCTGTGGGGATCGGGATATTGAGAGGAGTGAAAATAATTTCCATTCTTCTTTAACACCTTTTATATAAAGATTAGGTGGCAGTCTTTGCTTAAGGCTCCCCCAAGGAAAGAAATTTGTGCTTTATTGTACCAATTAGGTTGGTATAAGAAATCGAGTAATTTGTACTTTTCTTCTTTTAATTGTAAAATCTGGATATCTCTCAGCTATACACATCATTGTAGTATGTAAATAAAAATGAACATTTCTGGTAAGAGAATAATTTTAATAAATGAAATGTTAATTTTTTTAAGTTTTTTTGAAAAATATTTTAAATTTCTTTTCAAAGTGACTTTAGTTTCAGATATGCTTTTGTATTTTTTTTAATTTTAATTTAAGATGAATCCAAAATTTTAGTAATCAAATACTGAAAGGTGGGGAAGTAATATGAAATCTCACCATTTCTCTGGGAAGGAATTCATTCCCCAGTAATTTTTGTTATAGAATTGTTTTAGTCAGCTTTACTCTGATAAGCACCACTTTTAATCAGCCTCCTTGCAAATTATAATTCCCACATTAGTGGGAGAAGAGCTCTCTGTATGTGACCTCATTAGGGTACATTCTCATTGTGTGAAAAGAAAGGAGGATTTAAAATCTGTGCAGTCAAGAAAGTGGCAGAACTTGCAATGTGAGATATAAAATACAGGTTTTACAAAACTACAGTTCAGTCTGTTTATGCTGTTAGCACAAGTACATATGCTATTTTAAGTAACTCTGGAAGGAATCTCTGTGATCAGTAGTGCCATGTTGTACGTGGTCTCCCGTGGGGAGGCATTACTTTAATTGCTAATTCAGTCTTCAGTATTTGCCAGTTCAAAGATCCAAATGTTCACATCTGAGAAACTATCTTAGTTTTAAAAGTCTTTTTTCTCATTCATAAAATGCACATTGCTATGAAATTTAAAACTAATCACTTCTTTTTCTTCCCTCCTTCAAGAGCATATGGGTTAGTACCTACGTGTTTACAATATGCTTTGCTGCCAACGTGGGACTGTTGTATGGCATTGTCTGCACTATAGTAATTGTGATTTTCCGCTTTCCCAGGTAAGAATCAATTTATTGGAATGTTCTACTAGCACACCATTATGTTTTCTTTCTGCCTATTGATTCATAGTCAGGATGGACATACGGTATACTGAATTCAGTATTTTAGTTGCAGAAAATTACAAGATAAGACAAGTCAAAAGGAAAAGACACACCCGTGCATTTACCATAGACTAAGGATCTCTACAACATTTTATGAAATGGCATTATTTTGTGATTTCTCTTATTATTACACATCTGTATGATTCACTATGTGAAGGTAGAAAAAATCAATAGAAAGATTAATAATATAATTTTTTTCCATTAGATATTTATTTGGTCCTTAATGAGAAACTATGGCAAGCCTTAGGAACTCTAAGCACCTTTATAAACTCCTAGGTACTGTTGCACAGGAGTTGGTGGTTGACATTTGCACTGCTAATATAGATTAATGAAACATAATTGCACAACTATTCTAATATCTAATAAAAAGTATCTGTTCTTTTTATGAATTAGAAAAGCCAGAACAAACAAACTAGAGTAATCAGAAGTTCTTATATTATATATTACAGTTGCTAGTTTGTATCATCAGTAAAGAGAATATATCAGCTGAGGTTCATGATTGATTCGTGCTACAGAATTAATTCACAGATCACCAGACCTGGAAACGACTTGCTGCTTGCATGCAGTTGTTTGCATGAACATTGAATCCCACTGAAATTAAGCATAATATAGACAGCTTGATTAAATGCTTGTTAAAGTTAATGGTGTTAGCCATTTGTGCACAGCTCTTTCTCTTGGAATAAGTTGCAGAACCAGCATGAAAATAGTTCAAAATCGCAAGGCGGTTAAAAATTATGGAAGATGATCTCTGCTTGAATCAATCAGTACCTTTGTGGTAAACTTCTGCTATTCAGCAAGCTAAAATTTTGGTAAATTCTGCTAGTAAAGCAAAATGCAAGTTTTCGTGTTTTTACCCTGGACCTGAATGTTTGAGGTTCTCCAACAGCAGAAAGGGAGGGATATCTAACACAAAAGAGCATGATCCTCTGTTGCCTGATCTAACAGAGACCTCAGTCTGAACCTGCACTCTTCCCAGTGATTTCTGTGTTCTTCAGTCAAGCTGAATGTGATTGTTCACACCATCTAAAGGCACTGAACAAGGTAGCAGCCTTAAAATCTGTACTGTGCAGATGTGGTTAGTGAGACAATATGCAGCAAGCCATGCAGTCATGAGCAAAAGCATTAGCAGAAGTGAAGCAAGTATTGAGAAGTTTCTGTTCAGATGCCAGAGTATTGGATGTGATACATGTCACGTATCAGAATGTAAATTAAAACCAGCGGCAGCTACAGCCTAATTTATGCAAAGATGAGAGAACAGCTGACTTTTGCAAGGCTCATTTAGCCAGCCTCAGTACCTGCAAATACTCTTTCACACTGATGCATCTATTAAATGTTTGTATTTTGGGATTATTTCCATTGCCTAGCTTTAGGCACAGAGATCAGATAACAGCTAATTTGATAGTCTTCTTCAGTAAATTTGTTCCTGCAAATGCTGCATTGAAGAAGAAAGTCAACCTACACTGAAGGTAAAACTACAACCTACACCTACACTCACCTACACTGAGCTGCCTTTCCAAGGCAACTTTCTCTTTTCACAGACTGTGTAGACGGCATAGGGATACTGGCCCTTTCCTGTTAAGTGCCCCATTTTGATAGCTAGAGTGCAGTGTTTTTCTTCATCATACAAAAATGTGTCAATTTTAATGACAAATAACAGTCTTTATTTTTCATGACCCGCAGCTATTCAGCACATTTATTTCCCCTTTCCTTATGTTATGATTTTGCAGGTAAAAAATGTTAATTAAATCTCTTTACTTTTGATGCTATAGATTATATATGAGCTACTTTGGTTTGAGAATAGCTCTCTGGCCAGCTACAAAATAGTAATGAAAATTAAAATTAAGAAAATTAAAATGAAAATTGAGATTTTATTCACCAGAGACTTTCATTATTCATATTTTCAAAGTGATATATCATAATTCTAAAATGAGTTTTTACTCTTTAACTGGATTATCAGAAAAGATAAGCTCTATATGCACAAAAATATAGACAGATTGCATTGTCCCAACTTCAAACATCTCTGCTGTAGTTTGGCACGTGTCTCTTCCTGTTTCTGTTCAAGACTACTAAGGATTTGCCTTACAGATTTTCTCTGTGTATTGATTACAGAGCAAAGACGCTGAATTTGAAAAATGTGAAAGAAGTGGAATATAAATACAAAGCAGAAGATAATTGTGTAAGTTAATTTTTTTTAACTTGTGTGTGTGTTTCATTGATTCAGATTTGTTTATTTTCTCTAGTTGGCTATCAGATTGTAATCAGGGAGTCAAGGGAGCATTTTCATGATATGACCACTTTAAATCTAAAGCCCGTATGATACAGTAAACACAAAACTAGCTGGCCATCAGAAATTGGAATATCTTCACGATCATGCTGCTGGTCTGAAAAGCGAAGTTAGGCAAGTCCTCTTAGATCTATCTATCTATCTTAGTTTATTTGTCATTTTAAGTAAGGAATTGCTCTTTGTAAAAGTTTCCTAATTCCTAAGTTTAGGGAAATCTCTTGCCAGGAATGGCAAGGGCAATCTGAGCAGACAATACCAGTCTCTGTATTCTTATCAGATTTCCTCATTTCCTGAAAGTCCTTTGGTATTCTGATATCCACAATCTCTTTTCTGATCCCATTTCTGCCACCAGCCCCTTGTGACTGGACTGTCCCAAAGGGCGCTGTGTGCAGCTGGGAAAGGAGGGCCAGCACCATGAAGTTGTCACAGACTGCTTCACACATCTCCTCACCCTATGCTCAAACAAGGTACCCTCTCATGAAAACGGATGGAAGAATCTCTTCCAAAGACTGTGCTTTTAAAATTTGGCTTTCTACAAACTCAAACTAGCCAGTCAGATTCTTTTGGTTATTTTCATTGCAATTATCATCAAAGCTGCTTGTGGTCAGGCCTATGGTAAGAAGAGAAGGGTAATGACCCAGAGAGGTGAACTCCCTCCTCAAAGGTGAACTGGTGGGTCAGCAGCCAAGAGAGAAGTAGAACCATGTGTCCTTTCAGCACAGAGCCCCATCACTGGGACATCTTGCCTTCTCCACCGTGACAGTTTCTACTATGTCCTTTTTCCTTTTCTAATGTTTATGAAGGGTGTTATGTATCAGTAAGCCACATGCTCAGCAGTTATTGCCTCACCATTAAGAAGCTCTTCTTTAAAGAATTTATTGTTTCTGGCAAATGTCTTCCATCAGAGCTATCTTGGGCTCAAAATCTGAACTTTCAGGGGCTCGGAGGCATTTACGGTTTTGGCATGCTGAGCAACACTGGAATGAGAAAGGTACATAAGAATGGGGAGGACTCTGAACTGTGAATTAAAAACACTGTTGTTGAGGCTGGGCTCGCTGTCAATTATTATATCACTTTTCATTCTTAAGAAAAACATTGGAGTAACTTTGTCAGAGATGGGTAGCCAAAATTTTATTTGCCTGGTTTTTTCCTTATCAGTTCATACAGTATTTTGTACAAACCCCTATACATCTTTTTTTAAGCTGTGTTGGTTTTTTTAACTTAATCATTAAGATTAATGCCAGTAACCTAGTAATAACAAACCAGTGTCTGCAGACATTGGGGAAAATAACATTTTGTTAAGGAAGCAAATTGCTCAAGGGCTTATTACACAAAACAAAGAAGGAAAATATTTTTAAGATTGAGAAAAATGCCTTTAATTGAATTTGGAGTCACTGGATTGCAGCAGGCATTTAGGGTAATTTTTAATATATGAATGTTACACTTATCCAAGTTTCCCTGGTAAATAACAGCTTAGACATAAACAACAGGACTTTTAAACATCAAAATATGCAAGCTTAATGATCTACCCTGCCATTAAGGTTTGTGGATTTATAGGGGTTATTTCACCAATAAGAGAAAAGACACTTTAATGTGGAAAAAAATCAAAGGGTATTTAGAAGCTTATGTGAAACACATTGCATCAGAGGCGTTCACTTAAAATGAACCCTTACCCAAGCATAGATGGTGCTGTGCAGAGTGCACTGGGCAATTGCCTGTGTCCTTCTAAGGGATGGCAGGGACAGGCCACCTGAAATAATTTTCCCACTTTCTTAGCAAGTACGCAGCAAAGAAGAAGTTCATTTTTCTCAGAACAATTCTTTTTAAGAAAGAACCAAACCAGAGCCTGGAATAACTGAGTCAAATTGGGCACATTTGACCTTGCCCATTCTGGACAAAAAAAGTATACCTAAGTCTGCCATCGTTTCAATCTGACTTTATGATTTGAACCTTTCAAGTTTTCCACCTTGCACTTTTGGAAGCTTTTTAGCCTCTTGATCATCACAGGCTTTTATCTTTGCACATCAGCCTTCCTTTTTCCTCAGTTTTCATCTTTTACTTTCCAGTGCTGCTAAGGCACTGAAGTGCCCACTTGTCTCCACACCAAGCTGTGTATAGCATAATTTTTAATGGGAATCCGTGGAATGTCAGAGTATTTCTCCATTCAAAAATATATTGCCCTCTGTTTTGCCCTTATTTTAGCTTTCTTTGATATAATCTGAGCCATTTCAACTGCCATGCTTTGCCAGTTGTCCGACTGAGGTATGTTGGTGATGTGATATTTACCACAATTGCATTCATAGGTAAATTGCGCAAAGTCCCTATACATAGTCTGGTGTTCTTTGCCTCACTTTGGGATGTTTGAAATGTTTCCTTTGTATGATGGTCACTGCCATGGTGTCCAAGATATCGTCTGGTTCCCAGAAGTCTGAACAGCAGTCTACAATAAGGACATAGTTTTTGTGGTTTGTGGTGAAGATTTTCATTCCCGTTTTACTTGAAAGTCTGTTGAGAAAACTGCATATCTTCGATGCAATCCCAAAAGATTTTAAACTACTTGAAAAATGGTCTGTGTCAGCTCCACTTCCTTTTGTTTGAGTGTGACCTTCTTGTATGACTTTTGTTAGGGAAAAGAGAGGCTTTTTGATCTATACTCTCTCGCAAATTTTTTGGTTTTATTTCCATTGTCACACAACCTGTGGAAAATTTAGAGTTCAGTAGAATTAACTTAATTCTACCTCCTACAAAACCAGTATTTAATCATGTGATTGCTGATATCCAATATATTTATATATAAATAATAATTTTTTTACTGGCTTTAAGGCTTTTTATGAGTACACCTCGAGAGTGAGAGAAATTGCATTTGTTTTGTGCAAAACGTTCCTCACCGATGCCTGGGGTTTCTGACCTTTATCTGATGTCATTCCAAAATTGTTCTGTTGTGTAACATCTATGTTTTGAGGTACACAGTGTGACCCAAGGTACTGGTAAGCTGTTTGTAACTTATTCAGTGAAGTGCAGAGACAGGATCAAGGCTGACTGATGATTCTTGTGTAGATTATGGAGTTGGTTGTAGATATGTGCTGGTAAAGCTTTAAATGTGCCACTCAAGGTTGCTCTGGATCCACAAACTATTTTCGTGGAGAAATAGCTCTGTACTAAAGTTATCTTCAGATGACTACGATGAATATTGCCAGCTTTCCCCAAATCACCTGCAGTGTTTGCCCCAAAACCTTATGTACTTTTTTTCAAGACATGTGTTTGTCTAATAAAATATATTCTCTGTCTGCAAGTGTTGTCTTGCTTATATTTAGGTGTCATACCAACTGAAACAGTGCTATTATTTATCAGATAATAGTTCTTAGTATTATGCATCATCCTGAGTATGCTTTTTTTCCATGGTAACTAGAATTGAATGTAATTTTCATTATACATTACTTACATTTCCATTCTTACTTCAGCTGTGTGTGAAGGCTAATCAAGAGAGTTATCTGTTGAATCACTCTCACAATCCAAAGCTCTTTCTCGGTTAATTTACAGGTATTTTCAGTATTTTTAAATAAATGAGTTTGGGTTTTAGTCTCCAAATGCAAGATAAACTTTGCAGCATTATGTTTATTTAATTCCACAGGAATCATTGAAACAGGTGAAAATAATTTCAGTCAACAATCCATTAGTCTTTCTGAATGCCAGGAAATTTCATGCTGACCTGATAAAGATAATCCAGAAGGATAGCATGAGCAGCCAGGTATGTGAAGATGTAAATGAGGATATGCTATTTGCTTCATTAATCACAGTGACTGTGTTGAAGCTTGTGCTTGCTTTCCTTGCGTTTCTTAGAGAACGCAATCAGATACTGAAACAGACATAAAAAGGTAAAATTGCAAATGATTCATTTAGAATAAAGTTAATCCTAATCTTAATCAGATTCAGTATGGATTATTTCTTACTATTACTTGAAAATAATATCTTCACTATTTCTGTGTATGATCCTTTAAGAGACATTAAAGCACTTATCCAAAACTCTAAAATTTATGGAAGAACTTATATAACCTCAGATGATGTAAGGCTGGGATTCTAGAAAGACAGAGAGTAGCTACAAATGTGCTTGAATGTGATGTGATTTTTTTTCCTGGACATGAGTCCATGAGAGATAGACACTTCATTTCTAACTATAAGTAAATTCTGGAGAATTGGGAAGAAGTTACAAAGTGGGTAAATTTTCTCAAAGGTAGTATTTATTTTTCATTTTTTGCACTGATTGTATTGCAAAAATAAACAGTATACAAATTATGTATAACACTTTTTTTGGAAAAAATCCCTATAAATTTTCCAAGTTTATCTGCATATGATTACTGCAACTTCCTGCAACACTTCCTAAAAGGGAAAAAATTAAATTATCATTTGTCTATCAGTACAATGAAGACATTTCAATACTATGCAATGCTTGCTGTAGAAAATTTCATCCAGTTTGGTAAACTGGGCTGAGCAAATCACAGGCATGTCTTAGATGGGTTGTTAAGACAGCAATATGTGTCTACCACCTCTGCTGTCCCTTGACAAAGAGTTGTGCTACTGATGTGCACTTTAATAGGTGGAAATTCAGGATTCAGCTCAGAAAATGTGATGCTTTTTATGCTTGGTTCTGCTAGGCTAACTGATTTGGATTGGTATGATAACAAACCTCCAAAGAGAGAGAAATCACTTAGGATGTGCATGGAATTAATATATGAGTTAATTTAATAAGTGTAATAAGTTAATTTAATAAGTTAATTTATACATTACTTAGGAGGGAGATTTTATCCTTTGTCTCTTCTGTAAGGTACTTGGCAGTACAGTTGCCTGAAGTACTGTGCATAAATTTTTTTTGTAATTTTTTTTTTGTGGAATGAATGTCTTTCTGTAGGACATAATGGATGTGGAAAAAAAATGCAGTTTAGATTTTGTTTCTGTGCTCTAGTTCTGGCTTGAGCTCCTATTTCTACTGAGAACTCAACATACATATTGAAATAATTTTTATAAAAACTCTCCAAATAAAGATAATTTTTAATAAATTTGCATATAAAAATGTTCTTACTAAAATATTAGCATAGCAGATGAGATCGCAGCAAGTTAATCTCATAAAATCACCTATCTTTTCAAGAACATCTTTCCCGTCTTTTTAAAGAAAAGCAAAATATCAATTTGAGTATGTATCTCAGTATTCTTCTAAGGTTATACCAGAAAATAATATATATTCAATAGGGTGTTGGATAGAACATGATTTCAGAGAGAATGAGTTAACTTTGATATTGAGAAACAGAATTCATATGCATTGCATTGATTTTCTCTGGTTACTGTGCATTGAACTAGTTTTCCTTGGTATGTTATTAGTTTGTTGCTTTTATTTCAGTGTGAGCAGAACACGTTGCTCTGTCCATTTTCCAATGGAAGTTGTCATGGTGAGTTATCTATAAATTATATTAAAACCAAGATGGATGTAAGTGTGCAAAATGGCTCCACATTTTTCTATATATTTCTAGATGAACTCAAGTTGTACGGAAACTAATATTTTCAGTTCGACCAAACATTCAAGGAAACATGAATGCTAAACCGTATTAAACTCTTAACTTTGGTCTAACAAGTCCTGTTTCTCATTTTGTTTTTGACTGACTTTTTCAGATTTCAAAAGTAGGGTACCCATGAAAGCACCTTTTCTGTGGGAGTGGAAGTTTATAGTGGAAGACTGCATTGCCCATGGCAGTGGGGTTGGAACTAGATGATCCTTAAGGTCCCTTCCAACCCAAACCATTCTATGTTTCTGGGAGTGCCTGCTCATTTCACAGGAACAACTGTGAGCATAGTGAGCCAGGTACGCAGCAGGGGAAGCACTTCCCATGTTGCTGCCTGCACTGATCTTCAGATCAGGCCCAGGAGGCTGTTTCGCTCAGCTCTGGTCATGTTTTTTTCCATTCACAGAGTTGAATACTAGTATGGAAAAGTAAAAATAAGATAAGATTTTAACCATGTTAAATCTGTGTGATCTTTAAATCCACATAGGAGAAAATCACAGAAAATGTCAACTGAATTATCAGTGACACGATGGCTACCAATATTGTACAGTATATCAATACAGTATAGAATAAAGAAAAAACCTAGGAGTTTGCTTTCAATTAAGGATTAAGCTGGATAATTCCACTCTTCCCACATTTTATAACATTTAAATCAAACCAGAGCACTCGCATTCTCGTGGGAGAGCTGCAGCAACCTTTTGCAGAAGATACTTTATACAGATGATTTAATTTTGGATTGAATTAAAACACTGTGTTTATTTAAAATGCTTATAAGCATTAAGGCTGCAGCAGATAATCTGTTTGGGAGGCTGTTGTCTGAATTTCTGCATTTATTAACCAGACTCATGACATTTTTATGATGCTACAGTGTTTAGTTTACTTGGGGCTGACAGAGTGCTTTGATGTAGCATAGCAACCTGTAATAATGGCTACCAAAGACTATATTGTATTGTATTGACTATACTGTAAAATACTATGTGTGAGAAGATCTTGCCAGTATGTATTTCAGTTGTCTTGAAGATAAACTGGTTTCTCACATTACAGAAGTGACAGACAGTATAAAATCTCTTTTCTGAAAGCCTAAGTTCTAACTTGAGGACTTAAATGCTCTGTTGTTACTTGTACCAACCAGCCTATGGTGATTCTTTGTGGGGCCTTTAAAATAAAAAGCAGGGAGAAAAAAAAAAATGCCCATAAAGAGGAAAACAAAATGTGGAGTTTAAATTTTCAGGAAGGAGGAGAGGAAGAGGACACAAACCTTAATCCTTATGGCAGTTGCCCTGGAAGGCATGGCAACTCACGTCTTTGTCATAAGGAAAAAAAGAATCTTTCCTTTCTCCTTTTGGGGAGTACTGTCTGTATCAGCACCAAATGAAACAGCTGCTGTTGCTCTTGCACTGGTCCAAAGAGGGAGCAGGTGTGTACCTATCCCTCCATTTAGAAGCCAGGCAGCCTCTAATGCAATGCAGCAGGAATTATTACACTGAACAGCCTAGCAGACCTCATAAATCCTTTCTAGGTTTCTATCACAATAATGTCAGACGGGAAGTTCCCTTTAAAATTCTGTATTTTTGTTTGGTATGTATCTGTTGTTGTACGTTGGACAGTACAAAGACAGTAAATCTCTGGAGATGCAAGTCCAAAAGGCTCTGGCTCTCAGACTACTGTCGCAAAGGAATTATCACCATTGTAAATTTGCATCATGGTGAAATTCTAATTCCCCTCAATAGTTTAAAATCTTTACCTCTGCTCTACCAATGCCATTTAGCTTAACTCATCTTTACATCCAGAATTCCTTTTCTTCATCTTTTTTTTTTTTTTGAGTTGTGTGCATTATGATAACTAACATTTGTTCACAGAATAATGTAAATAAGATGTGCATTATTTTCTAGTTTTCCCTTTATGAAAGCCAGGAATCATTTATCTGTGTGCTGGTTCAGGATGCATTTAGAACAGAGTGTGTTTAGATTAAACACAAGGTGGCCTGAAGTTGAAGAATAAGACCTTTGCAAATCTTGCCAACATAATTTTTTTCTCCAGCAAAAATACGTGATAGTATATTAAAAAATTAACCAAACAAAAGCCAGCACAGTAAAACCTTAGGAAAATGAAACACCCCACTTTACATATTCTTCTTCCTTATGGGTGAATATTAAGTTAAGGCATAGGCAGGTTTTTAGGTACTATAGAAATCAATGTCATATTAGAACTTAAAAGAGAGTTATATTTTCTGTGTATCCCCTGAAAAATCTTCCAAACAAGCCAAGTTATTATCGTGACTCAATTAGAAATTCAAATTTGAAGAAACAATTGTTTAATTCTTGAGATACTATGCTATCTAAAACATCTCATTAATAATATGTTCTGCCTGTCATCACTTCATCCCATTGCTCTAAAAGTCCTTCATTTGTGCTTCTAAAATGTGCCATTTGCTTGCTTGATACCCCAGTACATACCCCAGTAAAATTTTTATTGTGATAATTTGGCCTTATTTTGTTGAGCTATCATTACTCTTATATCCAGTTCTTGACTATTCTCTCTTTTAATTAAAGTTTTTCATTTATCCAATGTGCAGGTGAATCTGTGCAGTCATGTCACAGTGAGAGATGTGTTTTAATATTAGACTGCAGTGGACTGAATTTCTTTGACTACACTGGAGTCTCAGTGCTTCTTCAGGTATTCATGATACCAGAAAAATTCTGTATATATTATAATTACACATATGAGTTATTGGGGGCAACTACTTCACCTATATCAGTGGATAAACATGTGATTCATGGAAAGGATGAACATAGATCTGGTTTTAAACTGCACTGTGTTTATATATAAAATTGCATTAAAATATTTATAAATATTATGGGTAACAGTGCAAATGTACATATCTGCATGAAAGGAAGATGTTTTTCTGAACTTTTTTTTTTAGTGTTTTTGTTGTTTTTTTTTTTTTTAGTTTTAAAGTTGTTTTAGGTCATATTTGACCCTGTCATGTCAGTTGCCATGGAGCCATGTATAGATTTATCCCTTTAAAATTCCAGCTTTTAATTCTGTGATTTTATGTGTATGTCCTGCTTTCTGCTAAGCCAGAGGTCAAAACACGACCTCCATGTTTTCTCCTGTGGGTGACATATCCAACAACGGGGTTCAGGCTTTGCCAGAGCTCCAAGGTGCTCCCAGAGGACTAAAACTGGTAATCACTGGTTACTGTGGTGAATGGAACTGAACCCAGATGGCAGCTGGCCACAATTGAGGTTCCCCAGAGACAGTACTGGGCCCAGTCCTGTTTAATATCTTTATTGATGATTTGGACGAGAGGATCAAGTGCACCCTCAAGAAGTTTGCAGAGAACACCAAGTCGGGCGTGTTGATCTGCTGAAGGGTAGGAAGGTTCTGCAGAGGGGTCTGGACAGGCTGGATCGATGGACCGGGGCCAACGGTGTGAGGTTCAGAAAGACCAGCTGCTGGGTTCTGCATTGGTCACAACAACCCCATGCAGCGCTACAGGCTGGGGGCAGAGTGGCTGGAAAGACATGGCTTAGCAGTGGACTTGGCAGTGCCTGCTTAATGGCTGGACTCATTGATCTTAAGGGTCCTTTCCAAACTAAACAATTCTATGCATAAAAAGAAGTTCTATACAGCGGATGAAAAATTATGTTCAAAAGCTGTTCCTTACATTTCCATCAGGTCTGGAGTTTAAAAGTTGTGTAGTGAGTACAGAGTTAAATGGGTATGCAAGATTTGTTTTGCACAATTTTTCTGAGTAAGACAGAAGACTAGATTTGAACTTGGGTCTCAGCCCAGGCCTTTTCTTATCCTAACCATTTTTTCAATTTTTTCAATTACTTCACTTACTCATTGTACAGTGAAGTAAGCGTTACCTTAGATGATTTGAAATTAAAACTACACATATAGATAGGGATATAGTAAAAAAGAGAACTGGAAAAATAAGGTTAGTGGGAGTTATTCTTTATTACACATCCCTTCAAAGCACAGGGCATTCAATAAAGTATTAATTAAGAAAAAATTGTGAAACTTATTTCCAAAAGATCTTAGAGACCTCTGAACTACAAATTATGTCAAAGAAGTGTTTGACAAATTTGTGTGAGGTAAGTCTGACATGGGCTGTGAAGTGCATAAGTTGGGAGTGAAGCCTCTGGATGAATGGCTGGTCCTAAACTGAATTACTCAGAGAAGAACACACTCAACCTGTCCTTGTTGTTACACTCCTCCCAAAATGTCATCACTGATGCCAGAGATAAAGGCATTTTTGGACTGAGTATGGCTTTCGGTTTATTTTTAAAAATAGGGTATTCTGATGGGCTTCTCACTGAATCTCGTCTTCCAGAATTTTTCCACTTTATATGGATTATTTAAACATTTTTTTTTTAAAACAGGAACTGCTTTGAACATTCCTCATCTGGGAGAAAAAGGCTTTACTCTGGTTTTAGAGTCATTTTCACTTTTTTTTTTTCTCTTTTACTTTCTCTCTCATTCAGCATTTGGTCTCTGTGGAGCTGACCATTTTCAAAGAAAGTATAAAGAACAACTTAATGCAGAATGTAGCATGATGGTTATGGTGCTTTTCTGATAAACTCATGAAGTGTCAGAGTTTCCTAGGTCTGATTTCTTTTTGTGTGGACTGGTAGGTAAGCATATGGCAAGGAGATGGAAACAGGAGATCTGGAAATAATCCCCTCAAATATTATAGCAAAAAAATGAAAAATTGTTAATCAAATTCAGTTTTAATTCTTGGCAGAGCTGTAGCGTACTGTGAAGAGGGGGTAGGAAATCAGTGTGGGTTGGTGGTGTTTGCATAATAGAAGGGCTCACTCTGGTGGCTGCTGGTAGTACAGCCGCTACAGCAGCATTCCAGGCGCTTTGCCTACCTTGGATATAGAGTTTTTGTGTATTTTACTCTCTGTTTAAACATTTTTTTTTTTAATTTCATGTTTTCACACATTTAGATTTACATGGACTGTAAGAACAGACACATCAATGTGTTGCTAGCACACTGCAAAGGCAAGTATCATCTTACAGCAAAAATTTTAATTTGATGGTTTATATATCCTCACTATTTTATCAGTGCTCATGAGTTTGTTTTATTGCAGCTTCCTTGATAAAAGCAATGCAGTACGGTGGATATCTTGAATCTGAAAATCCTGTCTTTTTTGAATCTATTTCTTCAGCAATTGATGCCATTCAAATTCACAGGGTAAGACTTACAAGCAGGGGTAAGTGAAGTGTCAAGGGCTTCTTGGATGCTCACAGCAATTTGTTAAAAGTCTGGGAAAGTCTTATTTACCCACTGAACCTTTTGGGCAGAAATCTTTTATCTATCTATTCTCTACAACTGGTCGTCAACCTCACAATGCAGTTACCCAGTTTTTTGCTGCTAGCACTCTCTTCCCACCACCATCTCTCCTTTTGCAATGCGTTCTCAATCTTCTATGCTAGATCCAGAGGCATGGTGTTAAGGTGCATTAATCTGGGCACATTCTCCACTTATGTCTCTAGAAACACCTAACACAGCCTCTCAGTGAGGCAAATTAACTCACATCCAGTTCTGCATTACTGAAGCTACTATCCCTCCTGGGTTGCTTGAAGCTACTTCACACAACACCACTCTGGTCTGACTGAAACCCTTCTGGATCCCCAGCAAGTTTGGTTTGAGCTACTAAGCTTGTCTCTGCCTTGCACTGTAGCATGCCATGTAGGCTCTCTGGTGGAAGGAGGGGAGAGGAATTGCACGAGGTGGAAGAGAGAGCTAGAGAGAAAGGCTTGGCTCAGAAATTGAGGCTTGAGGCTTGAACACGCATTGACTTACTTGAGTATGTATTTACTTGCTCAATGATTCTTGCATTCCTTATTAAAAATATTGTAAACCTGGGCTTTCCTCATAAACTATGTGATCCTTTTCCATTGTAATAACAGTGTAACCGAGTGTGCATTGCAAGTAGTGTGCTTTCCCATGGTTTTATTTATGATTCCAAACACGGCTGGAGCTTGGCTCAAGCCTTCTCCAAGAGACATTAAACTCATCATGGTCTGTGGTTTGGTTGTTTGGGTTTTCCCTAATTTTTTATTTTACTAATTAAATTTGAGTTGCCTATGAAAAAAACCCACTTTCCATTGATTTATCCAGATTAAATTGAGTTGGCACAGTTGGTCTAGTGGATTGACCAGAAAAACATGGTCTTTTCAGCTCTTTCCAACATTTTTCATTATGTTGCCCTGCAAAAAATAATTTACTGAAATGGTAACTGCAGGGCAAAAATAAAAGAGATGACTATTGTATATTTTGTCTGGATCTGATTAGGTGATTTAGAATGAACGTTGTGTCATAAAATGCCTGCATTTTTATTGACATTAATTAACTTTCCTAAGATTCTTGTAAGATAGCTATGCACTAGCATTCTCATTGTATGGCAAAGGGACATAGATAGACCAAACATTCAAAGTGAAAAGGGGGAGTTACAGCTCAGAAGTCCACTTTTCTAGGAACTGACCACATGTTTCTACCAGAGCTGCTAGGCAACTCAAACTTCGGCATAGTGGCTTAGCAGTTTAGTCTGAAAGGCTTGCATGCAGCCTCAAAATTTAAATGTAATTATGAACAGTGTATATATGCTGCTAATGTTTCTTCAAAGTATTCAAAGTATGAGCTTCAGAGGATTTTATATGTTTATTGTGTTTAACACCTGGGGAGGGGAATGAAAAGGCAGGGTGACCACAATAGCAGCACCACACTGTAACTACCAGTCTGTCTATATACTCCTCCTGTGACTTTTTAAGATGCTGAGGTCAGTAGGACTTTTGACTGTTTACATTAAGGAGTAGGCAGGATAGAAAAAAATAGGAGGAAGGAGTTGGAGACTAATAGAAAGTGATTCATTCCGACTTACATTTCAGCTTCCCGCCACAGAAAGGAATAGTCTTTCACTGTCAGAAAGGTAGAGGCAAGAGGGCTTCATGGTTCATTTCCAACTCTGACTCTGTTCAGAAATGTAAAGATGCTCTTATCTACATCCTCCAGTGATAAGGTTGTGTCATTCTAATTTTTATGTTTATAAATTGATAAGAAACTTGCCTGTTGCTTTATGCAGTTCATTCTAATCATAAATAAATTTTTGGAATATTAATCTTTATAGTGGTGGCATTTTCAAGCTAGCACTCCATCTGCTAATTTTACATTATATTCTTGGAAAGCTTTATAATACTTTTTTTTCTGTGTCTCTCAATTTAGAATTACAGCAAGTACAGTGAACAGAGTGAAGTGTGATGCCCACTCATTGAGTATGGCTAGTTTCATCTGCTTATATTCAGAATGAACTACATCATGGTTTCTCCTTAGGTTTTTTTCACCAGTGGATCTCATAGATGATCTTTTGTATACCATATATATTTAGTACATTCAGTAATGATTGATCTGCCATTCAGAAAGAAAGTCTTTCAGCTGCTATCACTCAGAGAATGTTCATGCAATTGTTCTATAGTGGTTTTATATAATATTTTTATATCTAGATAAAAATTACATTTAGATAAAAATTATTAAGAAGTAGACATGAGGTATTGACTGTGTTTACCAGTGAGATATATTCTTCTAGATATCTTTTATCATACCATTAGTTGTAATGTGCCTCTGTAGTTTTGTGTATGAAATAGAGACATTTTGAATTCTTAAAAGAGTATGTTATCATTGATAGAGTATACGCAGGGAGCTATATACCAATGCATACTGTTTCTAATGTCTTTACTTACCCTTCCTTCTGTTCAAGACAGCCATTTGCCGTGACAGCATCATATCATAGCTATCATATGCTTCCATTTTTCATTCTTGTCTTTGTATACTTTTTAATGCCTGCCCAGGTCCATGGGAAAACTGTGTATGCAGAGAAGGCAGTTGCATGTTGATTAAGTGCCCCTTAGATTGTCCCCCTCCTCTAGTAGTTGTCATGAGTTATAAGTTGCTACATTTTCAAAGCCACAGGTGTTCTTTAGCTCAGACTGAAGAGGAAAAACTTTTTCTTGTTTCCAGCATAGAATAGTCTTTATTTCCAGTTTGAGCTGTGATTTGTTTGGTATTGAAATCTTCAGCTATGGCAGCTGAGAGATGACAGTGGAGACACATAAAGTGTGTGCCACATTTCAGCCTTAATCCTGATTAGGGATGTGCAGTACTGTGTGTGAACACACAAAGTGGATGGAGGAATTCACAGGTTGAGTATTTGGTTTGTATTTGTAGATTGTCAGCAATCATACTAGATTATACTATCACATCAGTATCATGTTAATGGCAACACATCGAGGCCTTCCAGTACCTGAAGGGAGCCTACAAGAAACATGCGGAGAGAGTATTTACAAAAGCATGTAATGACAGAAGGGGGAATGGCTTCAAATCAAAAGAGAGTAAGTTTAGCTGAGATATTAGAAAAAAATTCTTTACTGTGCAGGTGGAGAGACACTGGAACAGGTTGCCCAGAGAAGCTGTGGATGTCCTAGGCCTGGAAGTGTTCAAGGCAAGGTTGGATGGAGCTGTTAGCAATTTGTTCTAGTGAAAGGTGTCCCTGCCCATGGCAGGGTGTTGTAACTAGATGATCTGTAAGCTCCCTTCCAACCCAACCATTCTATGATACTACGTACAACTTTTCTGCTCTTGCCTTTGTTGCCATATGTGAACACCAGCAATAAAATGCGAGCTGAACAAAAAGGAATCAAAAAATGAGAAAGGATGAGGTAGTAGGATTTTTTTCTCACTGACTTAAAAAATCTGTTGAAGCTAACTGCCCTAATGGCCATCTTAGCACTACAGAGAGGAGGGAAGTACAAGAGTGCTTTGTGCAGCTGGAGTCTAGAGGAAAAATCTAATGCTGTGTTCTGTTTTCAGCAGCAGTTACACATGTATGCTTGTCTGGGCCATCCTTGCTCTGTCTGCCCAAAGCTGCTGCCTGAAGGAGATGAGGTGGCTCGTGGAGTGACTTTCATCTCCCTGCATATAGTTGTGTTAAGACATTGATAAGCTTTTCTTCTAGTCTTGATAATTACACACTGCTAGATGACAATGGGAGAGAGCCATGGGGTTTTTTGCCTTTTCAGTTATGAGTAACTCTTGGAGTTATTCCCCACTTTATCTCACAGATGACCAGAAACGTTCTGTACATATTCTTCTGAAACTGCTTTCATAATTACTATGCAAAAGGTTGATAAATAACTGTGAGAAGCTCATTATACACAGAAGAAATAAATTCCGTATATTGTCCCAAGTGCATTAATTTCAGATGCTGTAGTTGATTGCAAATGACTCTTTACATCATTGGACTCAGTAACAGGCTATAACATTTGATTAATAATTTCCTCAAACAGTTTTAGTAATTTATTAACACTTTAGAAACTATTTACAATGTACTTTAATTGTAGAAGCATCAATTTTATGTCATGGCTGAATGGAGATTTCTACTTAACTGCGAACTGAATAAATGAATAAATGGTATCTTTTCTACTAAGTTCAGCATTTATTCTTTGGTGGGTAAATGTTTTTTTCTGAAGATGTACAGATAAGTTGATTAATGAAATTGTTAAAAATAGGGTCTTTAGCAAAGATAACATCTACCAGGAGACTTTCAGTTTTGTTCTGAATGATCTTTTAAATGGAACAACACAGATACTTTTAAAATTCCTTGTAGTGTTAGCCCTTGATGAAGCCCTCTGCATCAAATGATCAATTTTGTAGTGCTTATCAAAATTACTTCCAATTTCTACTGCTTTCAATAGGAATAAATTTTCCACAGTTAAATGGCTGTTTTGGGATGGACATTTATCTCCCATTAGCTCAAAGATCTTCTAGTGACACAGTGTCATTTTTAAAAGTGTTTCACCAGTGTAAGACTTCAAATTCAAAATGTCTTAATGCTGTGATTACTGCTTGATTGTCTCTCAGGGCAGAATCAGGGATGAAATATATTTCTTCCCTTAAAACATTTAATCATAACTCTGAATTTCCTAACCTTCCAACTCTGGGCTTTTGGATACTAGTAATATTTCTGTAATATATTTGACCATATATAATTAGCCTAAATAAGCTACCATTTCTGAGAGTATGTATTGTTAATCAGATTCCCTTTCTGGCAAGTGGCATTCCTTAGGACAGTTGTTTCTCAGCAGAACAGAGACTCATGAAGATAGCTGCCATTTCAACTGCTTCTAAAACATCCGTGTTGAGTTTAGGCCTTGTAAAACTGCTCCATAGAACCATGAGCAGCCAGTGGCGGAGGATCATTTCTCTTTTGCTATTGACCTTGAAGGGCAAATTACTTCACTACTGATACAGTTTCCATTTCTCCACAACCCACCCCTCTGAACTCTTGAAGTTTACTGAAACTGTGCTTGCACACGGCCTGTCTTCAAACCACCAGGATGAGATGCCATCAGACCTCATGCACCTCATGGACTGCCAGATCACCGGTTGCTCTGCTGGTGGGATGGGAGTTGCTTCGTGTCCTCCCTGAGTTGCTCTCTGCAAATCTCTGGTGATGCTGTATTTGTGCCACTGAGTCAACTGACAAACGACTGCTTAATTCTTTGGTGAAGATTTAAGGAAACACCCTAAACCTTCTAGGTTAAGTTTTGGAGGCAATTTCAACTATCACTTTAAACCCTTCCCTCAATAGTTCTTTGTACAGACTGTCCACTAGCTTCCCTCTGGCTCTCAGGAAAAATTATTATGTAAATATATAGAAACCAAACCCAAAACATCACAATTAGCTTCACTAGAGCAGAATGGAATGGAATGAAATAGAATAGAGTAACATTTGAAAGAAACCAACAGTGATCATCTAGTCCAACTGCCATTATTATAAAATGATAGAATGTTATAAATAGAATATACCATATTTACTCTTTTGATCCAGAAGGGTGAAACGAGCCAAACTCACCCTGTAGGATAGAGCCTGCTATCCACACGGAGAGGAATTAAAGTCAATAAAATAAGGAGTTTAGTTATTTTACCCTCCTGAGGCAGACACTGATCTTTGTACCTTCAGCTTTATTTACTTGAACATCCTTAGGGAGTTTTCAGAATAACGCGAAGTTTTATTAACTGTGCTTACGTATGTGAGCTTATGCAGTGTTAGCAATAAGAGCAAAGTGTGGAGGTCTCACTGCTCTTACTGATTTCTAAAGGTGCAAGAGATAGACTGCATATGCCAGCAGAGGCTCAATGAAGTCTCTTATTTACAAACAAGTTTTAACTAATTAAACCAGTGAATTTACTACTCTGAGTAGTAAGCAAGTCTGAAAACCTAACCATTCACTTTGATTCCCGTATGTATACTTATACCTATATGCTCAGGTTTTACATTTCTAAATTCAAAATGTATCAATCACCTAGCTTATGGAAATCAATGCTTCAATATTCTGCATTTCATAGGAGAACTTTAATATAAGATTGCTTTCCAGAGACGGCTTGATGTGCTTAGGAATTTTTAGCTATTTTTAGGAATTAATCTAAATTTTAAATAGTACCTCGTGTTAATGGGAAGTTTTCCACAATATTTAAGTTTTGCTAATCAGAATATATTAAAATGGGGATCTAATCAGATGCTTCTTACAGAATTTGTGTTTCACACATTCCAAAACAAAGTGAGCAATGAGGAAAAAAATAGAGTGCAAACTGATGTTAAGAAATGAATATAGTGGCAATTAAAAATTTAAAAAAATTAGGCATAAAATATGTAATAAGGAAAAGACTGTTAACATTATATTTATGCAAATTAAATGTTTCTAATTCTCATCATATGTCTTTCAATTTAAAGGTTATTTGCCCTGATTCTATGATTCAAGTGTCACAAGATCTGGCTGTAGCTGCTTTGACATAATTTATTTGATAGCTCTGTGTGTCATAAATATATAATGTAACAAGGAAAGGTATCTTCACTGTTGAATGAAAACATTAATGTGTCAATACTGGGTTTGAATACTGTTTGACATTTACTAGTTACAAAAATAAAATATACAGTATGCCTTGAAAATATGGTAGTCCTATTTTTGGAAGATATTTCTTTGTCTACAGAAACTAGTGTGTCATAAATAAATGGAGTGCAGTTCCAGAGTGCATGCTAAATGGTGCCTTCATCATTAAGATAGATTTTTAGTAAAGATCACCTAATCTGTGTGTTTCCATATGTTTTACAATGCAATTAATAATTTTTTCCTGTTCAATTCTGTGTATTAGCATATGCAACAATAAATTTATACTGAAATAAATTGGAATATGAGACAATTTCCATGTAGAAGGAGGAAAATGCCCTCATTATTTCCATTAGCAGCTTTTTTAAAAAAATAAACAAACCTTGTACTAACCAATCTGTAATGTACGTTGCCTTCTCCAACCTTGCAAAGTATTAAATCTTCATAATCAAAGAAGAGAAACTGCCTTACGTTCAGAAGTTTGACTTCCTCACAGCTCTTACGGGAGTATGGCATCTAACAGACATTTTTACCTCTTTAAGACATACAGAAGTCTTGGGCCATTTTTTCCAATATTGCCTCCTTGCATGCGCTGTTGCTTGAATATGTCTTTTTTAATTGTCATTTGCATACACAGATGGTGCACCTCATATCCAATTTGCGCATACTGATGGTATTGCTTATATGCAGTCTGTGGCTTATCCCAGTAGAGAGGAAATGATGGATAAACCCTCCCACCACCTCCCAATAACTGTGATGACATTAATGGAAAATGGATTGACATAATTTTAAAAATTTGACCGTGAAAGTAGCAGCTTGATTTTTCAAGCCTAGTAGTTTATGAAAGCATTTGCTTCTACCAAAATGAATGCAACCTCTACATTTTTGGTTTATATTACTAGATACTACACAGCTAAATAGTCTTAAAGATATTCTTAATGATAAAGGCTATTTTCTAGAGCTGTCCTTCTCAATTACACTCACACAATATCAAGGAAACTGCTTTGGAGTGAGATAACTGAGCAAATATTATTTTCATTCCCAGAATGGACATGTAGAAGATCAGTTTTCACCAGGAACTTGAAAGGCAACTTGAGGAGCAACTCCTTCCCTAATGGGAATCCCCTGGCTCCGCAGAAGTTCTGGAGAGCATGACATGCAAAAGCAGAGACATGGCTGTTTGCTTATTTTATTTCTAAGGCGTTTTCCAATAAAGAGTTCTTTTGTGCTGGATACATTGAGGTGGTTAGAAATTAAGAAGAACCGAGGGACTGGCTCACGTTGTTGCTCTGACTGACTTGACAATGGTAGATATTTCTCATCCCCATTGTGCTTGGATTGTGATGCTGTTGCAGTTTAAAAATGCAGTGACATCTTAGAAATTCTTGAAAGCTCCACAATGCTGAATTAAGCTGCACCTTGTACATTCACTTAAATCCCGCAAAGTATATCCCACTAATTAGACACACTGTCTTATATTCCATTTGAGAGGTGAAATTATCTGATCCCTTAATTGTTGCTTACAACTAATAGTTTTTGGTGAAAGAACTTTTCTACATATTTGCTGTCATTTGTAGGCCCAGGTAGTATAGTCAAAAATGCTTGCTGCTTGTTGGGTCAGGAAATAAGGTCTCTATTAGTTCACAGGCAAAGTGGCAGAGTGTTACAGAGTGATACCCATCATCCCTTGAATGGCTTCTGATTTGTACCACTTGTAGCTTCTGGGGTGATTGCACCAGTAAAATGATAGAAAAGCATATGATTTTATAAGCAGAGGACTAGAAAGGATCTGTTTCATCACTGAGTTGAGTTGCATTTTCAGTGTGATTTGGCAACCATGCTTTATAATCTAAAAGAATGATCTTTAAACTAATGATTGCTCATTACATGACTTGCTGTTTCAAATTTTTGAAGCCTGAACAGGTGATTATAGTAACAATTCATTTGTGGTAATTTATGGATGGAGAGATTTTTCAGAAATGAAAAGTAGTATTCCTCAAAGAGCAGTTGTACATTTCCACTCTGAAATACATCATACACCTCCTCTTTTGAGGACTTATGACTGACTTGCATACACAAATGTCCCTCGTGCCACCTCTGCAATTTGTAAAGTGCTCGGACAGACTGTAAATCTGCCTATGAGCTTGAGGGAGCAAGATCCCTGTCTTTTGTTCTGTATAAAAGCCGGAAGGAGTAGATGATATTTGCTAATTCAGTTTGAGAATAAAGTAATTGGCAGATCACATCTGTCCTGCATGCTCTCCATGACAAAGAAAGAAATATGGTGTTTTGTTAGTCCTGCAGCAGATGCTGAATATCATGTCTGCTTTAGGATCCAACACATCCATGGTATCAGAGGTCATTAGTTTGCTGTAATGTTTATAACTTTCCATTCTGCCTCCATTCTGTCTGTAAACAGACCTGTTCTGTTTACATCTCTGTTAGTAAACCCCTCTAAAAAGTAAACCCCTTTAAAAAAAACCGTTTTAAACCCTTTTAAAATAACATAATGACATTTGCTTTGCA